TATGTTTTGTTATGTTTTAGATGGGCATAAAACATTTTTCTTCACTGCTTATGGCTCACAAAAAGAGCCAGTCTTAGCTTCCCAGCATTCATCTGCGTTACATAAAGTCATATCCGAGAACAAGCCTCTCCGCTTCACTTCCCGGTACTGTGATAGGATGTGATGTAAAATTATGTACATCAGTCGAGCCTTGCTCATTTCCTTTAGATACCAACTGCAAACGGCAGGTGCCGCGTGAAGGTTTCCGAATTGTTTAAACACATCCTTGAAAGTTAACATTTTCGACGGAATAGGTACCTAATTGGTACTTACATACCTACTCATACTCGAAGGCTCTCGGCCGTAGTTAATTTGTACGGTTTTTCTTCATTTTAAAAGAATTGAGGTCACATTAATATTTTGTCATTACTTAAGCAGTTTGTAGTATTTCGTAATAGAGTTTCTAAAAGGATGTGGTGTCATTCCTTCCTACGTGTCATACGTACGTTTCATGACACAGATCGTCACAGTTACAATAACATTCAGTGTACCCGAGCGCAGCTAACCAATCATCGTAGTAGTAACACGACGCACTTTACCTATTCTGCACAATCGAAAGTGCTGACATGTGACCTCAACAGAATCTTAAGTTTGCACAATACCGTCTTTAATATGTCAAATGAGCATAACTTAATGGAAAAATATACAAATACATACATAACTATTATAAATATTACATACGAGGTCTCATAGTTTATTTTTATTGTAATCTGATTCCGGTTTTCACCATTCCATCATGTTTTTTTGGGAAATTTCACCCTTTGGAATAGGCGAATGGCTATGAATTGTACCAAACATTTATTATACATATTAAAATGCCTAAAGTAATTTTAGATTGTTTTTCATTTTGGACAAATTCCGTGTCACCATGTGCACCGATTGGTTGAATCTAATATCATGTGATGTGATTCAATCAGATTTAAGAAATTCTTACGCGGCGCTCCTGTTTGAAAGTTACGAACTCCGATAATGAATTAAATTCTGAACTGTACCCAGTCAGTACCTATTTATTTACTCCTATTTATTTCTTTTTAGTCTATACGGCACGATTTGTCTTGACTTAGGACTTAGATCCGATGGGCAATCTGGATCGCAGGGATACTAACCAGCCTAAAAGCGATCATACCTTACATACTTAGGGATTTTGGTCACGATGGCTCCTGCCGTCTGATCAGTGCTAAGTTACAGCGAGAGCTTTTACAAATAACCCAGCAATCGGCGGTCCATACTTAATGTCTCGGTTAGTTTGATATATTAATTTATCCCAAAATTAAAAGGACACACATTATTAATTATAATTATGTCGAAACATACTATAATAAACCAGCACTTAGAATGCTTACGAGGTTGCATTAATCATTGTATGAGCAATTAAACGTTGTAATAATCACGATACCTTAATTGTAATTAGGTTGACGTTACATAAACATCGGCAATGCCATATAGGAGTAGGAATACCATTATGTGAATTCAATAACTCAAAGTAACAATAAATATTTTATTTTTTCAATTCATACTCGGACTTCCAAACACTTTAGGGTAAATTAAAATGAAGTCGGTTAAAAAGGCCCGAAATAAAAATCCCATATTATAGTTTTTATTGGCTTAACAACCGAGCAAATATTAGTACCTAGTGCTATGCTAGGTACCTTTGTAAGTACACAAGTGGGCAAATACAGTATTAACTAAGTTTAAACGCAAAATACTGTAATGTGTGTCTAGTACTCAGTATAAGGCTACTTGATTGTCAGTGTAATATGTAATGAAGTAAGAATGCCACAATTACTGCCCGATTGTAGGTGCAGATCGAATGAGGAAGACGCGGAGATGATAGCATCACGCTCAGAAGGTTAACTCATCCATATTAAGAAGACGCCTTCGATATAAATTATGAATTCCGTGAAAAAAACACGCCAGTACCAGTTAACTATTCTGTCTAGACAGAATCCACACCAAACTGGTAAATATTTGTGTGGGTGGAAACAACTTAACGTTATAGCTGTGTGTATTTTATACTTGAACAATTTAATAGTTTGAGTCAATACTATCGATTTGCATGTCGAGTTACCAGCGCGACTCTACGATTCACTGCCATGAAAGGCAACCTTACATCTCGAGTCGCTTCAAAGCCTGCTCCGTTCCTTTCAACTACGCAAATAAAACAAGAATTGAACTATCAATGCAAGATTGCCAATCGTGGCTAAGACTTCACCGATCAGATTTCACGAATTCCGCTAGTTTGCGTGTACCTCAACAAAGCATTAAACGAATATGTAAAACAATACGCCTGTTTAGAGAGCGGCCCCCAACGGACAACATGAATATGTTATATGTTTACAAAGATCTTAAATTTGTATGGTGTTCAACTGCTAACTAGGTATTATTACCAATCCTTACGAGTTATATCACTGACGAAGACAGAATTAATAGAAACTTCTAGACTATTTCTACTAACTGTAATTCGGATTTAGTAATATTAATATTAAGTTGTCATCACTATTTCGATAAATATTCATGATAACGGTGTTTTCCCCTTCCGGTGCGTTATTTATTTAGAACAAACAAAACCGGACAAATAAATTAACACACTGCTTTTTTATGGAGATAAGGTTTAATCTTCTGGCAAAGATTCCGCAACATTGTTATCGTGATACTCGAATAATATACGATGCTAAGCTACGACCATAATAACTTCTTAAAATGTTGGTCAACTACTAAGGTTTGTTTTAGTTTAACAAAGGTGTATTTTAAGATTTCTTTGCAAATGAAATAGAAAATTAAAGGCGGGATTAATTTTATCGTATTTTAATAATGTAACGTATTTTATAAATAATGTCTGGGTAATTATTACATTTCCCATGAAATAGAACCTTTCTTGCTATGAATGAATTATTGTTATTGAAGGAAATTTAAACAATAATTCATTAAACAATGGTCTTGGTGATAAATGTATTTCATGATTTAATTACAAATTCTATTATCAACATATGTTTCTAGAAGTCAACTTAGTTAAACCTACCACACATGGCTAATCCCAGCAAAGTCCATTATCACATCTGCTAATCAATATTTATGATGACTTCCACTCTATTCAAAGTTTCTTTAGAAAATATGCAACTGAGCTTGGCACCAAATACTGTTTGTTGAAACACAAACAGTACTGTCCTCAAAATTTTAAAGGTATCCAATAATTTTATGCAGTCTAGCATAGGTGAAAGTGATTTTTCAGTGTTAATTTATTTGCTTAAATTGTCTAGTAATGTATGTTACACCCACACCACATGTTCACATCAGAATACTAAACAGAATGAATGGAAATGTGGAGAAAGGGCACCCACTACAAGTACTACTAGTTTTCTTTTATCACTTAGATAATATATGAAATTTGAAAAATACAAACTATTACTTATTTTATTTTTAATTAAAATAAAAACCAATCAATACTATTTTTAAATACATATAGATAGATAATTAGTATGTTTTAATTGGCTCTTTTAAACAGTGGCATTTAGTCATAAAGAATACATAATACAGAAAAAATATTTATAGCCACAGAATCATAAAAAAATTAATGGTTGCATTTATTCCCAATAGCAATCTGTTTTATCAAAGGTCAGATAAACCTTATATGAAAAATTGCACATATTCTTATCATCCAACTTAAAAATGTAAACAAAAATGCATTATTCATTAAAATGAAGGTACAATAAACATTCCTTATATGCCATAATTTGAGATCAATAGTTATTACTATATACATTTTTATACATATAAACCATTATCTCTTTATCCATTACAGATAACGGCAAAGCACCAGTTTTGAAATCACTAAGCAAATAATATGTAATGGGGAAATGATAAGATGAATGTTATCTAACATAATTTTTATAATATAACAAATAGGTCAGTTTTATGTTCTAAGAATAGCGGGGATCATTTACGCCACTTATGCAATACAGGTCATCTTCCTGCTTAGTTGAGCTGTGTAACATTGGCCCATATTATTGGGGACCTTAATATTCAATGCCTCAATTGGTCATGCTCATAAAACTTTAATGATTTCAATGACTGATTAAATGAATGTACAAACATATTGTATTGTCTTTTTCTAGTATGAATTTGGAATGTAATTTTAGATTTGATTGACTCTTGTGTTGCTGGTGCTAGATTATAGGATATTTCTATTATTATACTAATAACTTAATACTAAGGTCGGTTTTTATATAAATAGATTCAAAAGTGCAAATAATAAATAAGACACATTAACCAATTTGTGGATATGCAGGCATGATGTACATTATAAAACATGCTGACAATACTTGTAGTCATGAGTCTCTAATAATATTGGTAATTTTTATATGTTGAAAGATTAAAAGATAAGTTACAATAACCAGAAACAGTTAAAATACCTACAGTACTCTGTTTGTTACGCAAAGTCATTTTCAAACAGTGGTGTTGAAAACTTTTGTTATTTTTTATGATTCTAAGATTAACATAAGATACACAAAAGTATGTTCAAATTGATTTTCAGTAAAATAACTCACAGTTAACATAAAATAAGGAAATTGAGACTTAATCAAGAAAGTGTAAGTAGTTTCAAACTTTTGAAGACAAATCACTAAATATATAGTCTAATGATACTTTTTAGAGGTGAATAATATATGTTTGATAAGGTTTTCATAATGACATTATTATGATAATTGTATTCAACTACCTATCAAGTTTTGCTAAGCACTTCCATATTATCTAAGATAAGATATACTTATAAATTCACAGAAATACAACAGGATTTATTAATGTTGAGTGGTCCTTAACTCACTTCTAATTCATTATAATCAGTATTTACATAAATCTAGTAAACCACTATCAATCAGAATACTAATGTTTGAAGACACTAACCAAATTATTGTATATGTGAAATCTGCTTCCAAAAATTAAAACAAATAGATATGCAAGTATACCTGTGTGTGCAAGCCTCCTGCCCACAAGCGGGCTGTCGAGCAGCAGGCGGCGCAGCGACCAGCGGCCCAGCACGCCCCCGCCCCAGCCACAGCCGCCACCGCTGCCGCGCCGCATACCCTCGCGTTCCACCATCACTTCAAACTTTTACACATTACACATCAAACACTGGCCCAGCTATTACCAGCCTCGCACGACCGACATCAACCCTCACAGATTAAGTACTACCGTTATGATATATCGACATCGACTCGGCGATTCAACCAGTCTTTGCACAACGCGTATTGAGTAACCGACTCGCAACGCATCAGCGAGAGAAAGTGCCGATAGTCAGCCTCAACGTATGTGCTCGCGGACGCGTTACAGACAGATGCAGCCTCAGACCTCAGGTGGGGAACACTCACCGTTGAGTTCCCATTGTGCTGACTGGGCGCACTCACTGTTACTAAACTAAATGGAAAACAATGCCTATTATACAACTGCAAGAATTTTTTATTATTGTTATCACGGGCGACAAGAATCAATCACGGTTAAACAAGCAATGCCATTGTACAAAAATAAATTGAACAAAATTGAGTGTCTACGTTAGGAAACGACAATACACATTCACATCTGTCAAACAACAAACTTAACCGGCTCCTACTACAAGTACACGAACTCAAAAATAGTTAATCAATTTACGTTACAAAGTCACTTCATTCTCACTGTTAAAAAACCAAGAGTATTATCACAGATTTCGAACGACTAAATTAAAGACCACCATACACCATTTTTGCACACTGTTCATCGAGCATATTGAATGCTTTTGATCACAGTTTCGCTCATGGAAGCGATTTTGTATAGTATTTTGATTAGAAATAATATTTTTTATTTTTTTTAATCGATAGAAGTTTATTATTTTTGTTTATTACTTCCGACCATCACAGACAAATAAAGCAGTAGCAGACAAAACATTAAACAAGCTGCTGTCGTATATATTATTCACACCATTTAAGTAAATTGAATTGTAATAAATTTATATTCAGTTATTATTAAGTATTGAAAGAAACAAAAAATGCACTTATCTAATTATAAGAAATGATATTTTTATATTTTAAACAAATAAATAAAAACTATAAGAACTTCTTGGTCTGTCATTGATTGAAAATATATGAAAATTTAGTCTTGGTTTATTCGTGGTGAGCGTCAGTTATCAACTATGTACTAATTTCCAATCATTTAATTTGCGATACAAAATAACATTTGCAAAATAGTTGATTTCGAAAAATCGACCAATTGTTTTGAATAAAAATAGATGTTATATCTAGTATCATTGGTTCAATAGCAAAAACAAATTCAAACCCCCTTTCTATAGTTTTTTTTTGTATTATGTACGTCTGTTGTTTCAAAATGTGTTTTGTCTACTTCTTTAATATACGTCTGTGGTCTATGGGCTATTCAATCAGCGAGCTGGCTTAAAAGACTTGTATCCAGGCCATAAACTCCAAAAAATATCAATCAGCGAGCTGTCTTGGAGCTGTCAAACAAAAACTATCAATGTCATGTCTTTTGATTTTTTATTGTAATTTTGTTTTGTCATGTCAGCAGCTTCGGTTAACCGCTGCCGCTGTTTCTAGGACACAACTTCGTAGTTCATAAATTGAAATTAAACCTAAAATTAAATTTTAGCAAAATGAATATTTATTCACAAACACTGTTATGTTTTTTAATCTTTGTATCTTGTGTTTATTGCGAAAATAAATATTCAAGATCTGCAAATGAAAAGAAAAAATCAGATGTAGAATTCAGAAGTTTGGAGAAACCATTCAGGATGAACAAACTAAATTTATTGTGGACAAAAGCTCGTCAGGTAAGTGAGCTGAATAATCTTGTTTATGACTTTCAGATCTCGACTTGATAGCATGAAATATCTAGTAATAAAATCTGAGAATTACAAAATGAGTTGTATTATCGTTCCAGTAAGTATGCATTAAAGGTACTTACTATGATTTGGTCATATCAGCTACATATGAATAGTCATGAATATACATTTTTTTATGTTCCAGCGTCTCACAGAGCCTAAACTGAAGTCCTTGTACAGTGATTTAATGATTCAAGACAAAGAAGAATTGATATATAAGAGAGTAAAAAGTGAAGGTGGGGATAAAGAAGGATTGAAAGAAGCTGAACTTAGGCGGAAACTAACTAACATTATGTCAAGTTATGGACTTTTGCATCACTTTGAACCTGGTGCAGCTAAAGAGAAAGACCATCCTGTGAGTACAATTTCCAAAACTTTATTATTACACATTTATCATTGCATCATTAGTAGATAGGTAATAAATCAATCATAATGTTATATTGTATAAGCGTAGGGAAACGCACATACGCGTCGGGGGCACTGAATGTGTTAACAGATGCCACATTAACACAGCTGTAATGTTCATAATAAATAGGCACCTACTTGTTGCTTTGTTTGGAGACATGTAAGGCTGCCACTGTAGGACAACAAAACATAAAATGTTACCAACCTATTTTCATTTAATCAGTGTTCAATTGTTAATATTTGAGGTACAATATATTATAAAACATTACTGGGTTTGTCTAGGACTCCAATCTTAGATGAGTTAATTGATATTGCACACATTAAACTCACAAGTTTCATGTGGCAATCTTCTGTACTATTTCTTTTTGCACAGGCTTACAACTCAGCTATGGATGACTACATCAATAAGAGTATCTTCAAAGATAAGAAACTAAATTATCTTTGGACTAAGGCAGAAGCTTCAGGATTCACCATGGAAGAGTTGTTGGCTTTACGAGAAGAGTTCACACATCACCAAGAGAAAATTGATCAGTATTATGACTTGTTGTCTGATGATTCACCTAATGATGATGCATTTAAAAGTAAGATTTTTAAGATATTTTTATAATATGACTGGTAAATGTTAAGATGTCAGCAGAAAAAATGATATGTATTATTTGAAAATGATCCTTATGTTGAATTTGTATTAAGATAGTTTGTGTATATTTTCAGATATCATCAATGAAGATGAATTAGACAAATTTAATGAAATCAGTGAACACACTAATGACATGACAAAGGATTACATTGATAAGGCTAATCTTATCAGAGAAAAACATAGAGATTTGAGGGATGGTTATGACAGAATCCAGAGGATAATTGCTAAAGGTATACAAATACCTAATAATAGTTTTTTATGTGACTTCACACTGCATGAGTTTTCTCCTAGTGGGTGTTTTAAACAGATTTTCATATTCAATATTGTTGCGACGCTGCTTAACACCTAGCAAACTCTCAGAGTTAGGTCTGCTACATGGTTGATTTTATATAATTATTTATTAAAACAAATATAAAACTCCTTTCATGAATGTGATAGAAGCATTTAGATAATAGAGGTTATCATTGTGATCCCTAGCAGTGAAAAGTTAGTATATAGGTCACATAGTGTTACTATGCATAAAACTGTTTCAACATTTATTTTTAATTAATAAGTGTTGCTACAAAAATTCAGACTGTTATTAATTTGTCAGAATTTATAAAAAAAAGGAGTACTTGATTGATCAGAATAGAATATTATAATGCTCTACACATTTCATAAATCTTTTATTCAGTCAGCTGTTGCAAATCATCTTTATATTGTTAGTCTGGGCAGATTTATTCTTTTTATTGAAGTTTTATTGTTAGGCCATTAATATAATATTCATTTGAAAATTTGGGAGTGAGCTCATCAATGTTTATAACATTTTTTGATATAACTGGAAACTGCACAAAATAGAGTAAAATTTTGTACTTACTTTGATTTTCTTTATGTTTCAGCTCCAAACAATAAGGACTTCATAGAGCCTAAAGTTCAAGGTCTCTGGAAAATAGCTGTTGCAGCTAACTTTACTACTGAAGAACTAGCTTCATTAAAGGTAAATCTTCCTTTGATGTAATAACATAACTGGCAAACAGTGCATCTATATTTGCAATGAAGGATAGTTACTTTTAAAATATATTACAGAAACAATCCCAATTTTGACGTATTATTTGTTCATGCAGGTTCATACATTGAAATCAACCACTATAAATTACTTTTATTTTATTTGTTGTTGTTCTTCTTCCTCAGGTTGAACTGCAGCACTATGAGTCGCGACTGTTGAAATTGCGTCACTTACAAGCAAATAATGTAAGCAATCGCGAGAAACATAAGGACAAGGTTATTTTTGTGTTATTTTTATTTCTTTTATTACAAAAAATTTGTACTGTCAAGCTTCAATTTTGTACCATTTTTTATTTAGCATGTGTTTTGAACGAATTTTTGAAGAGAAGGAGAGTTATCTTATAGGTTCATAGACATCTGACCTGCATTGTAACTAATTCTTTAGTTATTTATAATTTTAATGTGTAACTTGGCACCTTTAATGACGTAAAACTCCCATTAATTTGAGCTGTGCTTAAAAAATGCTCAATTTACCTAATATTTATTGCAAGAATCATTACTTGCTTGCAAGATTAAAAAATCAATACTTTCTAGGTCTTTTGACTAATCAAATAAGTATAAACGTCACATCACTTTGGCAATCAACTCACTATACACTTAAAAATACGGAAGTTCCTTTAAGTTATAGCAGTTTGTAGAAATGTTAGGTCTGACTTTAACATTTTGGAGAGAAGTAAAACAATATTAATTATTGATTTGTTTGTGCAGGTTGCTGGCGCTGGTGACAAAATTAACCACTTTGAAGAACAGGAGCAGATGATCAAGAAACATTCATTGAAGGTTGCAAAGCTGCACGCTGACCTCGAGAGCAAAATAATGGAACGTCATACCGAACTTTAACACTACTCGCCATTTTGCCAAAGTAGATGTGACAATATTATTGTGATTTGTATGTAAATGATGCATTTTGAACAAATTCTATATTTGTGTGTAGAAGTAGCATGTCATTAGGAATGCATAATATGTTGTCCTTTTAATATTTAAGTGTAATATTATTATAATAAATGTAAATAAGAATGATGAATCTCAATTATTGTTTTAATAAAAAGTAAATTCTTTTGCAAACAATATTGTATCATATAATAATATGAACTTCAAGGAGTGCTTGATAATAATATATTATTACTAGACCCTAGTCAAAAACATACGCAAATTACTTTGACAACGGTTTATTTGCCTAGAACTTACCGCATATCCTGCTTTAATTATATTCGAGACAAAGTAAGTCCTCAATAATAATTTACTTATAAATATACACATTCCCCAAATAAACCTATTAAAAAAGAATTTATTGAAAAACAGGTGGTATTATTAAAAACACCAGTGGATACAGTGCATCAATATATCGATATTTAATCTTCATGTACAAGCAAATTTATTAATACATGTTTAATATTCCGCCTTGGTTTTCGAGCATACCAATCATCGAAATAATATCGCATTATGCCATAATATAGTGTAAAATATGTATAATAGACGGCGGGCGGCGATCGCTCGCAAGGCAACTCAAAACACTCAGCGGCACTTCGGAATCACATTCCAAGCTACCTACTATTACATTCGTTTACGCGTATATCTACATCAGATGAAAACGGCGACGCCGACTATAACATAACTATAATTCGTCTAAACGTAACGTCGCGACCGGCGAGCGGCAGTAACAAATAAAACTACATCCGACTCCCCTCACGAGTTTCATTATAATGAATCGTTTAATGCTCACTTCAGTCGATCGTACAGTATAAGTAGTTCTCTTCTCGATAGGACATCTTCTCTATTATGTATATAGATAATCTGTATAATATAATTCTTTCTCACTAATATCTACACCGTTTCCAAGGGTTACAATTATATATAATCCTGTGGGGCTGGGGCGGACGCGGCGGCGCGGCCTCGGGTCCCCCCGGGCGGCTCTAGTGAGTCCACTTGCTCCAAGCCTGGCGACAAGCGACAAAGGTGAGGTCGGAGTGCAGCGGACGCGGCGTCAGTAGCGGCGCGGGCCAGGTACCTGCTTGTCGGCGGCGTGCGCCGGGTCCCAGTGCGGGTGCGGCTCGGGCGCGGGCGCGGCCACGGGCGGCAGGTAGTGCAGCGGCAGCGCGTGCATCAGCGACAGCGCCGCGGCCGTGGCGCCGCCGCCCACGCCGCCGTAGGCGCCGTCCAGCGCGTGGCCCGCGTGGCCCATGGCGCCGTAGCGCTCGGCCTCGCCCAGCGGCTGGTGGTGGACGTGCGCGTGGCCCCAGTCCTCGGCCGCCGTGAGCTTCCAGGCGCGCTCCGTGCCGATGGGCCGCGGCTTGCGTTCCTCTTCCTCGCCCCACCCGCCTCCGCTCACTCCGACGCCGCGCTCTAGTAAGGACTGCGCACAGAACATGACATTCATTGCGAATACTTTTTAGCTACTTTAGTCAAACTTACTGATTTAGCCAGACTTTAACACATTTTGAATTGAGAAATCCTGTCTTAACGAATAGATTAAAAAAAAAACAGTGATGAAAATAATGTTGGTTATGCATGCTAATGGCAATGAATTGTTATCTATACTAATATTATAAAGAGGTAAAATTTGTAAGTTTGTATGTAGGGGGTAATCTTTGGAACCTGGTCGGATTGCCAAAATTCTTTCACTGATAGATAGCTACAATGTTCCTGAGCGCTATAGGCTACAAACATCACGCTACGATCAAATGGAGCTGAGCAGCGGGTGAAACCCCGCGAGAGTAGCTAGTTAAAAATATTTTGCATGGAAGTTAAGGCAAAGTGTACAAGATATCAGGGCGTGGTATGGACAGAGTATATATAGCTAGTGACCTGGTAGGCGTGGTGTTGCTGCGGGGCGTGCTGCATGGGTTTGGGCGACTGCGGCATGGCCTGTTGCTGCTGGTACGACATCAGCAGCGCGCTCAGGTTGCCCGCGTTGCTAGTGCCCGCGAACAACTGCCGACGAGGAAAGCAACTAATTAGATTACATCAAAATAATAGTCGATAAATCTTGTTAAAACATTGTCTGTACAAAAATTGTACGGACGCAACAAATTGCAATGGGCGTTACCTGTGCGTTATGTTTCTGCTGCATGAGAGGGTGTCTCTGCGCGAAGTCAGGCGCGCGCGGGTTGAGTCGCGATACAGACTCCACGCCAACATAGCCCAGCCCCAGCGCTGCGCCGCTCATGTTCACTCCGCTCGACATCGACACTTGTTGCTGCGGGAGTCACATGTTCAATATTTCAAATATTGCTAATAATATTTACAAATAACCAAGTTAACAAATAAGTAAAAAGTAAAGTTTTATGATTTTAAATACATTTGAATAAAATGTTTCATATTTAATTATATAATATTTTACCATCATATTATGGCCATTTCGGGAGTTGTCTTGGTAAATAGGTCCATTCCGGGAGAGTCCGCTCATATCCATAGTGTTGACGTTGTTACCTAAAATATGAGAAAAAAAACAATGTGGGTTTATAGGACAGGAAAATTAGACACTAATTAGTCTAAGTTTAATTTAACTAGATACAGCTACACAATGCTGGAGGATAGTTAAAATAACAATTGTAAAAAAAACACGAGTCTAATACAAATGAGTGTGCTTACAAAGTGTAGAAGTGGAATCTTTATATAGGTTAATAAATTAGTGGAGGTCGCTATTACCGTGGGTGGCGTGGTTCCCGATGGGCATGGGCTGGTGGTAGGAGGGCTGCGCGTATGCGGGGGGCGGCGTGCTGCCGTGCGAGGACGTCCGCGAGCACGGCGACACGCCGCCGCCCGCGCCGCCGCCGCCGCGGTACCCCGGCGCCTTGCTCGCGTCCACCTGCGCCGAGTATTACGTCACTGTCTCAGTACATCGTCTCTCGTCTCGCGGAAAGTATTTATATTGGACATTATAACCATTCGTTTTTTACTTGTGACCATTAAACATACTTTCATATTTTCTTCTATAACTAAACTATATTCAATTCAATAGATTAAGTATATTATTATGCTTAAAATTCAGGGACTGGTATCATTTATATCGGTATCTTCAACATTTTCGAAATCGACTTGTCATTTTTTTATCATATCAAGGGGCAAGTTAAACATTACCGGCAAACAAGGATATATGAAATATTAACATAAATTTGAAACAAAAGTAGTGTAAGAACAGTTACCATATTGAAGTGCGTCACCTGTGGCGGCGGGGGCTCGACGTTGTGGTGGTTGTCCCCGGCCGCGCCCCAGACGGCGGCGCCGCCCGACACGTCCTTGAACAGCGAGTACTCCTGCCCGCCCGCGCGACTCGTCGCCTGCACACGCAAATATTTTTATCCAAACAATCCACACTTTCACATTTTTGATTTTTAGAATTAGAATCTCTAGAATATTTTCCTATACTTCTGTCATTGAATCCATATAGTTGAATATCAGGAGATTGATGGCTTTAATTATTTTCATCTATACAAATATTATAAAGAGGTAAAATTTGTAAGTTTGTATGTAGAAATGTTGCCAAAATTCTTTTACTGACAGATAACTACAATGTTCACATCACGCTACGATCAAATGGAGCCGAGCAGCGGGTCAGTATTTAAACTGCTTACTTGGGGTGTGGTATTAATGTGTAGCGCTGTGGAAGTGCTCGGCGTAGTTTCCTCGTTAGCACTCCACGAACTTGAATTATCAGGGCTTAGCTGGAAACAAAATCGCATTTTTAGAAAGGAATAATTAATTAGATCGGTGTATATAATTCAGGAAAGTAAGGGTAGTAATAAGAATAGGATGAAATCAGTAAGGTACCTGCACGGTGCGATCAGGCAGGCGGTGCTGCTTGTCGCTGTCGTCGGGCTTGTGCGGGGGCGCGGGCGTTGCCACCGGCCCGGGGGACGCCTCGCGCGTCTTCTGTGGGGACACCGCACTGCCCACCGCTGCACCCGAGCCCGGGCTACTGCTTGGCCCGCTCGTTTGCTGAATAAAACATAACCATTCCGTTTTAGTCGTCCATTTCCTACTTACATCCGTAATCCAGCGTCCAAATAAGAGGGTGTGGTAAAAAGAGGCTAATATATAATGTACGCACCGGTGGTGGTGGCCTGGGCTTGAGGTCGGCGGGCGGCGGGGGCGCGGGCGCGGCGCTGGGCGCGGGCGCGTGCGCAGGCGCGGCCGTGAGCTTGGCGGCGAAGGTGTGCGTGCGCGCGCCCACGATGGCGCCGGTGTAGGACAGCGCGCCCGTGCCCTTGCCGCCCGCCGCCGCGCTCACGTGCGGCCCGCTCGATGTCGCCGCGCGCTTCTCCGTACTCGTTACCGCTGTCGAAACAGAGATTGCATTAATATTTAATTCATTCTCGTAGTTTGATTGATACAAAGCGGACACGTAAGGAACCAGCTGAGATGATGCGAGTAATACTGACTGTGACAGAGGCGCGGCGGCGCGGGCCGTACGTGCTGCTTGGCGGGCGCGCGCGCTGTGGGCGTGGTGCGGCTGCTGGCCGAGCTACTGCTGCTGCTACTCGCGCCAGCCTGTTGCTGATAGGGCAATACATCATTACAAACACTTCCGTTTCTATATAAAACGATTATGACAAAATAATTAAGTATTATAAAAGTGGATGATTGAGCAAGAATAAGAACATTGAAAGTACGCACCTTCGGCGGTGGCTGCTTGGGCGTCTTGGGCTGCAGCGGCAGCGGCTGCGGCGCGGGCTTGGCAGCTGCGCGCGGCAGTAGCTGTACGATGTCCGCCTCGGGGTCGCGGATCATCGCCGCGATCAGCATGCCTGCTTGTTTAGTTGCTTCCGCTGAACCCCTAAAACGCACAAAGAAATATTACTCGATCAATTTCACAATCCAATACATACGATATTCGTTGCAATATAGACATAACATTTGCGAATACTCACTTAATAGTGATGATGCGTTCGCCCTGTCCTTTGCTCTGCTTGTCCACTTCAATATGAGCGCCCGTAGCAGATCTAATAGCGTTGATGTTGCTTCCCGCACGTCCAATAACTCGGGAGATTGCATGGGACGCCACTGACACTTTCTTGCAGCTGAAACAACAAAAATCAACTTTGTAACACTTTGTTTAACTTAATATAGGGTAATCAAAATAAATATCTATATAAAATATATTGCGTACCCAGGTTCCACCGTAGAGAGCGTTTGTACACTAGACTTGCGTACGACCTCCTTCCAGCCCTCCTCGCGTCGCCCACCGACGCAACCGCTCTTAGGAGACGTGCTCTTGCCTTCAGTCTCCCATCTATTACACAAGTGATATAGAGTTACAAGAGAACAATCTTAACAAACTTATAATAAACAAATGTTCCATGGGTTCAAGTGTTCAATGGAATCAGAAATGGTTGAATGACTGTTTAATCAGGTGTAACTCTATTTGTTAGTAAATTGAAAATGTAAGGTTGATATTATTTAATTTTATCGTTTTTAAAAGCCTCTATAAATTCATTAAATATTAAAAAATAATGAATTAACTTAATAAATATTTTTATATAGGTAGGTGACAAGATATTCGCTTAGCCTCAATTCATATAAATTTCAAACAAACTAAGCCTCAATTTTATGTTATTACATTCCATTTAGTTACCACTCGAAATGCAACAACCCCAGACATAAATAAGCAGAGTCCATACATTAAAGTATGACCAAGTTCTTGTATGAGTATAACAAAGCAAAAACACCAGGCCGCGTGAGAGGACATGCAGGGACCACAAGAATGTAAGGTATACAAGTTTGACACTGATTTTGTGTTCGTTGTATGATGGCGCGGTACGTTTACATAGTAATCGAACTTACTGATGCGTGTTGTGCGTCTTTTTATTTTTGTCGCTTGTGTCAATATCGTCTTTTTCCACAATGTGCCTAGTGGATTCGAATACTTGACTCTTTCTAGAGTTATTCCCATATTTGTTAACATTCTGTACTGTAATGCTCTTAGGGCTATCCTCCTCGGGTTTTCTGCAAGAATAATATTTCCGTCTATAAGCCCTTTTTTTATTTTTTTTATCATCTAAATTGCTATTAGGTCGTAATGATTACAATGTAATAGCTAGTTATAGAACAAAAAATAGTAAGCGTTTATTATAAAATTATCATTCACTCAAACTGTAAAAACATGCACAAAATATGAATACTTATGTACTAATTAAAATTTTATCTGCGTAACGCCAAAGAACGTCATGTTTAATTCGATATCTTAGCGCATTCACTCAACCTCAGCACAGATAAAGGAAGCTAGGGAGAGGAGCAGGGCTTATTGGCAGGTATACTAACTTGTTGTCTTTCTTGTCGGCAGGCCGTCGTTCAGGCGGCGGCGTGGGCTTCACTGGGGTTGCGGGGGGAGAGCTTGGAGCTACGTTCTCTTTCTCCTGCTTCTTATCAGGTTTCGGGGTACTTTCCTTCTCAGGTTTAGTCTCTATTTTAGGTTTGCTCTGTGAAAAATAGCATTATTTATTAAAAAAATATTCTAGTTTAAGATATACAAGCCGAATCATGATTCCGATAATTTAGGTTCCCTTACTTACTTTATCGGGTTGTTTCTTGGCAGGAGGTGGGGGTGGGGCGGGAGCTGCCTTCTCTTCTTTCTTCTTCTTTTTAGATTTAGTAGTCTGAACTGGCGGAGCTTTGACATCGGAAGATGAACAGGAACCCTACAAATGAATTTTTCATTCAACACCATCCACACTGTCTATTCTCAAATATCATGATGCTAGTTGTACAAATATGAAACCTGTGAGTTTGCATCAATGCCGGAGTCTCCTTCTTCCTTGGCGACAGGTTCGTCATCTGGCTCCCCGCCCTCGGAGCACTCGGCCAGAGCCTTGTCACAATACATAGAGTTCTTGTCATTTTCAGCTTGCAGCTTTCGCCGTTCTTCCTGCATGCAAGACTAAACCGTTTTGTAATGTTGCCCTTTTAACGACTTTATATATTTACGACATTCGAACCGATACATATTCAAGTCAATTTTATATAATTATGGTTACTATATGGTTGTTTTAACTAGTCAAAAACCATACTTTTTTTAATCAAGTTGCATATAAATCCATCTAAGTATTTCTTCAAGCGAAGGAATAAATATTTGTATTTTATACATTGAAAAAAATTATAGTATTAAAGGTAAAAAATATTTTTGAGCAAAGAAACTACCCTATTTAGATTGAGATAGAGCATTATTGTCAAAAAATTGTCAGTGATTATGAGAAATGCACCAGAGTATGTATCGAGCTGGTGGTGAGAGTGCGGTACCTTCTTCTCGAGCTTCTTCTTCTTCTTGCGCTCGCGGCGGCGCGCGGCGGCCTGGCGGCGCGACTCCTCGCGACAGCGCTCGGCGTCGAGTTCCTCGAGCAGGATGGTGGCGTTCTGGTTGGCGCGCGCCGCCTGCGTCTCCTTGGCCGCGCGGATCACGCGCACGCACTCCTGGCACTTCTCCAGTAGCTCCTTGTCCGAGATTGTACAGATGTACCTGCAAATGTCTTCGTTTTTCACCACACTCTACCGCGACACTATTCTATTTTATCTCAGAAACTCTAGCGTACCTTGTCATTTCCTGATCCGAGGGGAACTGCGTTACTACGCCTACCATCCATTTAACCACCTTTGTGTGGCCTTTACGGAAGGCAGCCATCAGGCATGATACCTAAAAGTAAAAATAACAACATTGACACTCTCCTTGTGTGCGAAAAATGCGAAGAAGTTTATCTTAGTATCAAGATCATGTTATACATACTTTTCTGTTGTCTTGTGAGTCAATGTCTGCGCCGGCCGCGTACAACATCTCAACTACTGCGAGATGTCCTCCGTTTGCTGCCAACCATAGAGGAGAGTTGCCTTTTTTGTTTTTAACTTCAACCGCTGCTCTTCTGTAATAAAAAAAAACTCGTTTTACTTGAGATACAGATTTCAATGTTGGCAACACATTACACAATAGCCAATTCAAACTCAGAATTGGGTGAGCAAATGAAAGGTTGCACTATTAATACACTCTTATTTGTATCATTGCAAAATTTCTAGAACAAGTTAAAACTTGAATCTCATAAACACCCAGACGTAAACTTACCTTTGCAGAAGTAGCTCCACGAACTTGGTGTGTCCCTTGTCGGCGGCGATGGTGAGCGCCGTGTCGCGGGAGGAGGGTACGGGCGGCGCGTTGACGTCAGCACCCTTGTCCAGCAGGACGCGCCCCACCTCCACGTAGCCGCCGCTGGCCGCCTCCATCAGCGGCGTCAGCCCCGTCTTGGCGCGGTGCTCCACGTTGGCCTTGCGGTCCAGGAGCAGGCTTACCACCTCGTGCCGACCTGACACCCACACACGGAACTTAGCTTTGTAATGAGGATCTACACTACATAGGTTTTTTTGAAGCAAGACAATATGGTACCTTGGAAGCAAGCGAGGGTGAGGGCGGTGTTGCGGTTGGTCTCAATCTGAGCGTTGATATCGGAGCCGCAATCCAACAACAGGCGTACGGCAGCCGTGTGCCCGTTCATAGCAGCCAACATTAGAGGGGAAATACCGAGTTTCGAACCAGTTCGAGAGTTAATTTCAGCCTGAAAAAAACAATTATTATAATACATTTCTCGTGCAAAGCCTACATATTTTAAAAATGTTAACGGGTTTGTGAAGAGAACATACCTGATGCGTGAGCAGCAATCGGATGATATTGACATATCCGCCACTGGCGGCGAGGGAGAGGGGGGTGTAGTCGGACACGTTGCGGTGCTCCTTGTTGGCGCCGCGGCTAAGGATGAGCTCCACCACCTCGTACCGGCCGCCGCTACACGCCAGCGACAGCGGCGTGTCCTTTGTACGTTCCGACTGTGCTTCGATATCCGCACCGTGGTTTAAAAGGATCTCCACGATTTTTTCGTGTCCGGCAGTCGCCGCTAGAATTAGCGGAGTGAAACCCTGTAGGGATACACACAGAGTTATATTTTGACCGTTGCAATACTGAAGTAACCATTTAAATGCAGTAGTTTACCTTTTTGTCCCGGTGCTCGATATCTGCGCCCCGGCTGAGCAGTAGCTCGACCAGGTCCTCGTGCCCCCCGGCGCAAGCCAGCGTGAGCGCTGTGTCATGGTTGGAGTCGGTCTCGCCATCCACGTCCATGGCACAGTAGGCGGCGGGCGCGGGCGCGGGGGGAGTTGCCGTGCCGAACGCCTCGCCTGACCTGCAGCCTCTGCCCGTCCCCGCGAAACGATTCTGAAACAATTATATTGCATCGGGTCATATAGCAAGACTAAGAACAATTACAAAGTCTGAATTGCGATAGTCAAATGTAGGGAAATGTCTAAATAAGGTGTGGGTAGTGCGTACCTTCTTTTTGGCGGTGGAGTGGTGGTGCTGGTCGCGCTTGGAGTGGGGTTGCGGCGCGGGCTGCGGCGGCGGGCCGTGCGCCGCGGCGTGAGTCGCGCCGTGTGTCACGCCGTGAGCCGCGCCGTGTGTCGCGCCGTGCGTCGCGTGTTGCAGCTGTGACATGTGCGCCGCGCTACCCACGCCGCCCACGCTGCCTACGCCTCCCACGCCCGTCGCGCCCGCAGTGCCCGCTGCGCCCGCCACGCCCGCGTGCGTCGGTGCAAACGTCGCCGACCTGTGACCACTCCATTCGTTATGATCATACAAATGACATAATACAGTGTAAGACTTACACGAAGCAGTAATATTACCTATAGTCTTCATAGGGCAGCGTCGGTGGAGGCAGTGCAAAGTGTGGTTGGAGATCAGGCTGAGGGTGAGGTTGCTGCTGTGGTTGAGGTTGAGAAGACGATTGAGGTATTGTCAAAATGTCGTTGTCAGCCCGCGTTAGGATTATGCCACTCTCGAGTTTCCCCGAGGGAGACGATGGTCGGAGTCTAAACTGGCATCCATTGCTGGTCTAAAGTGGTAAAATGACAATTAGTTTAAAAGTTGTTCAAAATGTGTAAAGGGAATAATTTCAATATTCTATTGACTTTGTAAGAGTAAAGTATAGACGGTGACATACCGTGACGTCGACGTGGTGGTGGTGGTGATGGTGATGGTGGTGGTGGTCCTGGCGCGGCCAGTCGGCGCTGAGCGCCTCCTCCAGCAGGCGGCGCGCGTGTCGCTCGAGGCCGTCGTCGTCCGCCTCGGCTTCGCCGCGCTCCGCCTCTACCTCCGCGCACTTGGACGACAGGATCTCGTGCGACTTCTGCTGCATGACCTGCAGCGTGCATGTATCACTCAGAGCATAAATGTGGTTGATGCGGCAGACTAAGCATGCAGTAGGTAGGTAGTAGAGGCGCGGCTACCTGCAGCACGAGCGAGCGCAGCTCGTTGGGCGGCAGCGCCACCAGCGACGGCACCTCGCGCTGCAGGTAGGCCAGCACGGCGCCCAGCTCGCGCGCCTCCACGCCGCCCGCCGCGCCCGCGCCCGCCGCGCCCTCCGCCGCCGCGCCGCACGACGCCTCCACCAACTGCCACCACGACACCACATTCTCATAACCTGCTCATCTTTACCGCCCCGACCCCACTAGCGGCTACCGAATGTTCTAATCAAGCTACGAGCGATCGTCATAGCATATCTTACCTGCGCCGCGAAAGCTTCGGGCCTCTGTTGCAGCTCTTGCACATACAGCTGCTGCTGCTGTTGTTGCTGCTGCTGTTGTTGTTGCTTCTTCTGTTGTTGTTGTTGTTGTTGTTGTTGCTGCTGCTGCTGATGCTGTTGCTGCTGGTGTTGTTGTTGCTGTTGTACAGCGAGCTGCTGGAATTGCTGTTGTTGCAACTCCTGCAGTTGGTGCTGGAAAACAACAATCAAATCAGTTAATGTACAATTAATTGACTATTTTGGCAACTATACTTCGACATATTTCTAGTCTAAGCTGAATGGTAACAACAAATTAAATGACCCAAATCTATCTACAACGCAAAGTAATTTACGCACTCAAAGTAATTTACGCCGTAATGGGCTTACAATATTATAAAATAAAACAGTAACTATCACTATGAATACGTGGTACATAAATAATATCGTATCGTCTATCCATGTTATAAACAACTCGCGAAGATTACCGCGACGGCACCCACTTCACTAATGTGCTGACCGAGCCGTTGCAACGCGTCCAGTAGTAGAAACTTGCAACCGAACTTGGAGCATTTACGTGAAACCTTCGCGCGCGGTCGCTCTTGTATCGGAGTGTTCTATAATGTTCAACGCGTTTAATATTTGTGGGTCGAAAAACATCTTTCTTTTTGCAAATGTATTGACATTATATTGGCAACAAAACAAGTACTCAACTACTTGGTAACATTAATGAAGTAATTGGCAAGAACTAGCTGTAAAACATATGCAGTCTACAACTGAAGTAAGGTATTTCAATTATAATTTAATTGTTAACTTGAACTAAATTGAAAATTACACTTATGCTACTTATTTGGTAGTAATGTCCACGCACCTGGTTGAGGTTTGTAGCTAGCTGCTGCACTGGGAACAACTGCTGCGGGGGCGGGTACGGGGGCGTGGTGGGGGGGTGCACCGTCGTCACACCTACACACAAACTGAACGTTACTCTACTGTACCACCCGTATCTCCACACAAACTATCTTGCTAAGTACACCACTTACCTGCTTCTAATATAGTTTTTGTCATTACCTGTGTCATTTCACTACTATTGTCAGCAAGTTCAAGTACTGTTTAAAACATTGGATTCTGGGATTTTAGTTTTACTGTGCATGGTGGAGGTTAGTTGATATTGGACTATCATCATCTGTTGGACTGTGTGTTTTGAGGTGGAGATCGAAAAAAACCTAATATTAAAACTTATAAAAAATAAGTTAGGGAATGTAAATGTCACACGGAAGGTGGTCACATGAAAAGCTAAAGAAATACTCACGAAGCTATTAATAAAACAATCGTCGAAAAAAAAAACAAAACGAAGGTAAACATATTCAGCAAAGGATATAAACATAGTGGAGTTGTAGCAAGTGCAGTAAAACGCTAGTTTACATACAAAAATGCGAAAGGTAAGTAGGTATTGTCAAAATGGCCTAAGCAAGGCTTTGATGAAAAGGCCAATGCTGACAAGGTACCCAAGCATTCGAGGATGGGAGAAACAGGATAAAGTCGCTGTGTTTGTTTGCACCCGTATGAAATGAACAGGAATGCGGAAGCCAAACATAAATAGAATTCTGTAGGGATGACGGGGGACGTGTCGACTTGCCTTGAGCGCAGAACTGTAGGTCCAAGGCGTGCAGCGCCGACGTGGCGAGCGTTGGCGGACCTTCACATACAACGCCGCCGTTTTACAAAAGTCAACTCATTACATACTTTATATTCTGAACAATTGTAGGGGTTTGGCACGACACCCGTGCAGTGAGCAGTGCAAGAATGGCGGTACATACCTGCGGGGTCGGGCAGGTCGAGCAGGATGCGCTCGGCGTCGGGCAGGCAGTCGCGCAGGTCCCGCTGTAACAGAACGCGGTGAGCGAGGCTCGCGCGGCGCCGCAGACGCGCTACGAGCCCCGAGCGCGGCGCGGCGCCGCCCGGGGGCGGCACCGGCGCCCTACGCTAGCAAGGTCTACGTGTGCGACGCCGCCATACCAAAGTACTGAGTTAGTTTAGTGAATGTAATTATAGTGTCACTCACGTTGCATTTATTTTTAATCTGGCATTTAATTTTAACTTTCTTGTTAACATCCTTCCACGTAAACCCCGGCGGGAGTGATACCTTAGCCATGGCGTGGTGGCAAATCTACACCGTGGGAAGCAAGCAAATAGAAATGAAATGATAGAATCGTGATATTAAGCGAACAATATACATATGTATCAATAACATACAGTAGGTGGGGACGCAATGGTTAATTTGGAAAAAAATATACAAATGAGAGGCATATTAGGAGATAAGCTTTACGATGTTAGGTAAACAACCCACACAATGTACCAATGATTACCACCTTTATTTAGAAACACGGTACACTTAACTGACTTGTCGTCAATGCAAGTTACATGCAATAATTATTCTATATGTTTGTTGGTTTACTCTTGTGTTAATGAATAAAGGAGAAATCTAGTACACTAGCTGCATAGCTCCAGCGGGCTTGCCGCAGTGTAACCTGATACAAGCTCAAGAAGAAATATAAGAAACAATTAGCTCAGAACACCCAATATAGATAGTAAGCATGACGTGAAAACTTTTTGTCATTGTTTGGGTTCACTGTCCCATTTCTGAATTGTCAGTAAACCAGTCTAGATGATAGGCGTGTACCAAGTAGGATTTATTGTTTTAAAATGAAATTAAACCACATACAAGTTAGTTATGCAACTGGTGTACAGGATTGTAAAGCCTTTTTATTAAATATTCAGAAGTTCACTATGAATTCTATTCTTTTTGGTTTGGTTAAAAATTGATTTTGTAAGAAAATTAGCATGTTTCTTAAAATATGACTGACTTTATCAGGAACAATATTTAAAAATGTATCATGACAAACTTCCAAACGAAAATTCAACAGTTATCTTGAATGAGTTGGGGTTGAAGCTATTTTGCCAATTTTCCCTAAGTTTTTATTACTGAGTCTGGACATTTAGAACCCTTTACAATATGCTATACCTTATACAATATGTGGATACTTAGAAATACGTCCGAAAATCAATGTAAAGTGTTCAAAAATCCAAACAATATTCTAGTTACGCAGTATACAATTAATTGAGTACACTATTTTACATTTTTAAAAGCGAAAATTCACGTATACACACAGAATATTGAGATCAATACAAGTAATATTTGTATTTAGTTATTCATAAGAAAGAATGTTAAAAATGCTGTTTAGTATAAAAGATTAATTCATACATTCAGTGTTAGGGGTGACAATTCGTGTAAATGTTTTATATAAAGTTAAAGTCAGTTGCATTGATGATAATAAAGAGCATGTTTAGATCTGAATATTCTGGTGAGGCAGTATGCGTGAGTGAGCGGTTAGGGCGTGCGGGGGCGGCGCGTACGTACGTTGTCGTCGAGTATGTCGGGCGGCGGCGGCAGGTGGTGGTCCGAGTGCGGCGGCGCGGCGCGCTGCTTGCGCGTGCACTTGTGCTTGCTGGGCTCCGGCTCCGGCTTCTTGCGCGCCGCCAGCCCGCGCTCGTCCAGGTACACCTTCGAGAACTTGCCCGCGCCCGCCTCGGCCTGCGCCGGCAGCAGCGCGCGGGGCGCGGCGCCCCCGCCTGCGGCCGCGCCCGCGCCCGGCGCCGCCACGTGCGCCAGCCCCAGCGCCGCCGCCTGCGCCGCGCTCAGTCCGCCCGTCTCCTCCGCCGTCGCGTTACCTGGTACACGCGCACGTATTACATATACGACATTACACAATAGAGAGAACATGCACCGCGCTCTCTAGAGCTTTGCAATTTTCTCATATATTACAAGTTGCAAGATCTGCAGTTGGTAAAAAGCCTAGTAGAGAAGATGTAAAAACAAACAAGTTTTAAAACTGTTTTCATTTTCAATCACGACACATTCTATCAAGATAATTATAAATTAATATACTAAATATTGATTTTTGTTTTCATACACAACAACACAACATGACTAATAACATTACTCACCCCTCGGTAACATGACGGAGTGCGGGTAGTCTAACAGGAGAAGCACGACGGCTGCGTGACCTCCCTTAGCCGCTTCGATGAGCATGGTGGAGTTATCCTTTAGCTTACGGAAGGGATCCGCATCACACGCCAACAGAAACTTCACCACGTCCACATGGCCACCCGCGCACGCTAATGAGAGCGGAGTGTGGTCACCCAAGGCGGTCATGCGGTTTACGTCTGCACCCTGAGAACACACGAATAATTTATTTCATCTGTCTTCATTAAGTTGACTGTTGGCGTGCGCCACGGAGTGACGTTCGTAAAAAAAATGCAGACCTTCCCGACGAGGAACTGCACGGTGCAGACGTGTCCGGCGCGACAGGCCTTCATGAGCGGCGTGCGGCCGCCCTCGCTCTCGTGCTCGAGCTGGGCGCCCTCCCGCAGCAAGAGGTCGGCCACGTCGGTGTGTCCGTTCTCGCACGCGTACGTCAGCGCCGTGTCGCCCGTCTGCGTCTGCGCGTTCACGTCCGCGCCCGCCTTCAGCAGGTACCTGCCGCACGCAACATACTCTTGCTGTTATTCATTTATCTTTTTACGAATATCATTAGTTTGAGCACTTAAGTATGAGTTCCCGATCTTTAGAAAATAATGTACTGACCGCACGAGCTCTAGGTGTCCCTCTTGAGAAGCTTCCATGAGGGGTGTGGATGCTCCTAACTCGGCGTCGGCCCCCGCTTTGATGAGGAAATCTGCTACTTCGAGGAACCCGCCGCAACACGCCAGCGTTAATGCAGTCTCTTGAGTTTCTTCCGTTTGCGCATTGATTGAGGCTCCCTGGCCCAGTAGTAATGCCACCATCTCCTCATGACCTGAGTTGGAAAAATATTTTTAATAATTCATCAAATCCCAAACGAACACCGGGTTTCGAATAACCACGATTGAAAGGTTAATAGTTCTGATATATCTAAATTTTTTTATAACTACAGCACTAAAATGTTACTACCATAGTTTAATTACAATAAATGGTATCGTATCTATCAAGCAGCCACAGTAGACGCTCAACACTAACCTTCTCTTGCGGCTTCCATTAGTGGCGTGTAACCTTCATCATTCACCTCTTCAATATTGGCTCCTCGTTCTAGAAGCAGCATCGCTAATTCAACATGGCCACCGCACGCCGCTAAAGTCAGCGGTGATTCGAAACTGTCAGTTGGCATGTTAACCTATGCAAATGAAAAACAATATTGAGTACCACATTATGCAAGTGTGTCATCAGTAGTCGGTGTAGAGAGTAGTTACTTGGGCGCCGGAGTCGAGCAGTAGCCTGGCGACCTCGACGTGTCCGTCCATGCTGGCCTCCATGAGCGCCGTGTGCATCTCGTCGGTCTTGTGCTCGCGGTCGGCCCCGGCCGCCAGCAGGAAGCGCACCATGTCCAGGTGCCCCTTGTAGCACGCCAGCGTCAGCGCAGACTCCTTGAACTCGTTAGAGTGTGTGTTGATGCCCGCGCCGTGCTCCAGGAGGATCTTGGCCACACCTACGTGTCCTGCCGACGCCGCCTGCACGCACCATACACATTATTAGCCATGATTTTAATCATCTAATTTTGATTCGAATATACAACAAAAAAAGTTAAAATCTGTATAAAGCCTAACATTATGAAACACGAAATGTACCGGTGTACCTACACGAAGTGTACAACGGTTATCTGTCAATGCACGTATTATTTAGGTTAGAATCAAGAATATTAGGTTTGTAAGTAGAGTGTATGTAATTACCTCCATGAGAGGCGTGTGTCCGTTCTCGTTGTGGTCCTCGACGTTGGCGCCGCTCTCGAGCAGCGCGCGCACGCAGTCCTCGTGTCCGCCGGCGCAGGCGTACATGAGCGGCGTGTTGCCCGACCCCGACACGGCGTTCACGTCGGCGTGGTGCGCGATCAGCAGGCGCACGATGTCCACGTGGCCCGCGCTCGCCGCCTCCATCAGCGGGGTGCAGTCGCCCTGCGCGCACTCGGTACTTGTACATGTTCCACGACCACTACTTATACAGCCACGGTTACTATCCTAGACACTACCTTGATGCCGCGGTCCTCCACGCTGGCGTGCATGGCTAGCAGCACCTGCGCGAGCTCGTAGTATCCCGCGGAGCAGGCGAGCGAGAGCAGCGATTCACCCTCTTCTGTGGTCTCGTGCACGGAGCGGCCCTCGGTGAGCAATTTTCTGACGGTTCCCACGTCGCCGTCCGAACAAGCCTCCGCTAGCGATGGCGCGCCGTCCGCACCCACCGACGACGCTACCGTGGGCGTTGTTCCCGTCGCACTCGACCCGCATTGTTGACTAAAACGAACACCGTGACAGAATATCAACGCTCGAAAAGCAAAGCATGCAAAATCATTAATCATAAAATAAATCAGATAAGATCAAAGCTTGACTAATCACCGTCTCGAACGGTCTCATCTGGTCAATGCGAGAATTGTTCTCAGCATCGAATAGAGAGGCTTCCCGCTCGTACGACTGACTCAATTCTCGGATTTTCATCATTTAATTTGAATAATATGGATAAATTATAAACAAAGTGTAATGAACATACCTACTATATATAATAATATTGATAAATAAAATAAATACAAAATCTTAGTTTTTTGCAGAAAGACATAAGGTGACGTGTGGTATAGACGCAGTATTCTGGTTAAGGGTAAATTATTGATGACGGTGCATTAGAGGTTTCCAATCGATATATAATTGGTATTAGTACAGTCAGAGCGAGTTAGCATCGTATCATTATTTTAATCATTAAAACCATTAGGAAAATGAGGCGTGTGTTTTTAGCAAAATACAATCTGCAAATCTATAAAAAACTACAAAATTTATTGTTATGAATGGGAAACTAAGTTACGACTACGAAATTCGAATAATTAGCTCCCTAGACGTATTTTTACTAATTCAATAAATTATAGAACGATATTATAGTGTTAAATGTTACAAATACATACCAAACAAAGCTAAAATTTAAAAATCCTAAGCAATAAAGTATAAAATTGTTGTTTAGAACTTCGTAGTAAGTCTGTCAAATGTTAAACATGCGTATCCTAACCCGCATCGTTGAGACACGGTGCATTCTCCATTGACACGGCAACGTCATTTGTCTAACATAAAAAGTTACCGTAAATGCATAATCGCACATAGTATTTTCTTAATGCATTTTAAAACAACCAGGGACGAAGTGCCCATATAAATATTAGCTAAAACTGAATCACTTTATATGAGAATTTGAATAAACCAGAAACTATCACTCACAATGTTATTTTTACGTGAGTGTCCTACTTTGTAGAGTTCCACACTTCACCTTTTAAAGGCAACTGGGGTATATGTATATCCACAGCTGCGACGAAATTAGGGCAGGTCGTCTAAAAGAATTGCTGCTTGAGTATTCCAGGTTAATATCATTGACGTTCCCTGAGACCAGGCGTCTAACAATAGCCGTTACACTTTTAATTTCGTCATGTAACTTAAAACGTTTAGACAATCGCGATTTGATCAAAGCTCATTGTTAGATACATTTTAGTGTTTGAATAGTACTGTCTACTCTGTCTAGCAGACACAAGGGCAGCCTAGACGAGGATTTATGTAACACATGTAGTTAGTTGCCGCGTACTATTGGATGATTCACACGGTGCACTCCGTCAGTCAACATGTTACAATGAAAACATACAGACAAGAATCAACGATAACTGAATCCAAGTGACTCCTTCGATGGGCTGTGTAATTTAAGGTGTGTTGTGTAGTGGAGATACCCATTATAAAACACGTATTTAATATATGATAGATAATGTTTCTATGAAGTTTTTTTTAGGTAAGTAGGATGGCAACGCATTCATACTTTTTATCCTGATGGTGGTGTCGGTGGTGTGGTGGTGGCTGGTCGCTGCGCATGCGTGTGAGGGCGGCGGCCGCCTCGTCGAGCGCGCACGACACCGACGACGTCAACCGCCGAAGCACCTCTGGGTCGGCAAGGTGCTTGCCTTCACCGGATAGCTTACCGATGCCTGCACAAGAAAATAGACATCTTAAAGATTGCTTGTATAATAAAGCCAAACACCATCAAACAGTCATTCACCGGACATAAAAATAAATCAATTTACTTCATCGATTATATAAATCCTCAAACCATCGAGTTAAGTTTAGTCATGATACTGAATGATAAAAGAAACCATAATCGAAAGAGAAACCTTAAGTGCCTGAGATTACACGATTAGCCGCAGGTTGCAGATTGCAACGCAATCAATGGTTATGAGCACTGCAGTCTGCTGCACTTCGTGTCTAATGCAAGACTAGATTTACTACGGACATCTAACAAAATAAATGTACTATATGAGAAAAAATACTTAATGAGTTCATAAACTAGTAGTATACAAAAAGTTGATTGTTTAAAATAAGTAAACAAAAATGAGGAAGACTTTTTAGAGAAATAGTTGGCATATGGCGACTTTTTTAAATATGTAGTCTTACACCATTTAAATGCCTGCAGTTTTACAACAACTTTTACATTTTTCTTTTGCAGCATTCGCTTGGTAGTTTAATATTAAATGATTACACAAGGCCCTTATAAGCTAACAATAACAACGCATTCCATTCCCTCTAATTAGGATATGCGTGTGACGTCACGCGACACTTTCCTCCGATCAATCAACGCATAAACAAAAGATCTATCGCAGCAGAATCTGTTATCTCACGCTCCTCAAGTACCTACCTATCTACTCAAGCGAATACGGCGTCAGATTGTTAAAATAGAGCTATATCAATTAAGTATTATGAATGGTGGGAGCTTTAATTAATGTTATTTGCATTACCACCCTTTTAACGGAATATGTACTTAGTCACTTTCTTTACAACAGAGTGATTTGTATATGAGATCGATTTGGTAAATGACTTAAGACTAAGCGATGCTGGCCACATGTGGCAGCATTTTTTATCATTTAAATTACAAAAGCACATGGATATATTTTAACGGGCAATGACATAATAACCATACGGTATTCATAGTAATTCGGAATTTAGTAAATAGTGTGGCTTGTTGGTATTTTGTGCAAGTTCTAAAGAATCACGAGATACTTAGTGTTAATGAAACTTGTAACAAGAAAAACATAGAAACGTACGTTTACTCGTACTTTTAACATAAACAAGTCAAAGCCCGCGGGGTTGCTATATGAAAAAGTTGCCACATATTAGATTAGGTTATATAGATATTAGAACAAGAACATTTGTTTAACAATTTCTAACTAGACCAGTCAGTAATTTGGAAATATCCATTGAGTGTCGTTGTATAGATATGACAACAAATAACTTGAAAATGTTTATACTTATAATTGGAGTTTCTTATAAATAATCCCGTCATTCATGTTCGCAGACATCAAAGCTCTGTAATTTAAATTTGGTGCATACCGTTATCACTCGAGACGTTATATGCGATCCCTAATTTAGGATCCAAACAATCAAACAGTTGTCTGCAAATGAATACTGTATGAACCGAGGAACGGAAGTAATCATAACTGTTACCGGTTTAGGCAGATTCCATAATAATGAACATAGAATTTAAATTTTTCATGTAACTGTTTTAGTATAAGTTCACAAGATATTGTTTTTGTAAATTGTTCGCCTTCAAGATATTCAATGGAGGACGATATAGGAGCGCACAATGGGGGAGCCAAAGGAATGTTACATATCTCATTCAACAAGCTTCTCACTTCTCTCGATTTCCAATTGAAGTATTGTGTGACTTTGAAAGTTAACAATTACTCACACATAAAATGTTGAAGTATTTAAATCACTGCTTTAATCCTGCTTAGCCCTTTATTTATACAACGGCGCGTTTGAAGAGTACACATCCCGCGTGTTCAGTTTCCATTTGTACACCGTCAGGGAGATCTTTTTCCGCGGCTGTTCGTGCATAGGTTACGTCACAAGCCGCAGTACTTGGGCAGTGGACTCGCGACTGCCCGCCATACCACTACTGTAATGAGATGCGGAGTGACAAGTCGCCGGTATTTACAACAAAACAATACACCGCTTTTAGTAGTTCGTTCCCAAATTCGTATTAGCTTACTTTGAAACTTATTTTGACCTCCACACCATAGGTTACTCACATATAACATTATGCAATGAAATGGTGGTATATCGACAAGGACAATCCAGCTATTTGAAAAATTCTATTTACTCAAGGGTGTAATAAGAAATGGCGATTTACAAATGGTATTGAAATTTATTGATATGAACAGTTTGCTTAGCAAAATTTTTATATTTTATACTATGCACTTTTATGGAAACCGATAAGGCGTAAAATAACGTGTGGGCAGCTAATTATACATATATGCAGAGGTGTTTAAAGGTTTACTCTTAACCTTTTTTTGGCAACTATGTACACAAGGTCGTATCCAAGTACAGTCTTTATTATAAACGCCATTAAATATATACTGCAGGGTTGATCTAAGCCCTAAATCTTTTTCAGTATTAGTCTATAGACAACATCAAAAATATAGCCAATTTAATATAGAAATGTAAGTACTCATTCTTCGTGTCCATTGCAGAATAACGAAAGTTATCGATTTATTAAATACTAACTCAGACAAATAGTGAATGCAGCTATGTGTGCGAAGAGGTCAAGGCGGGTTGTGCTTTATTTCACTAGTCACACTGACGCCCATTATTTGCTAATATTTCGTATTTCTAACTAACGCGATGTTCTAAATGCCATGCTTAATCCAATTTAGTTTTCAATGTAAATTGGACTTGATGCTATGCTTTTTTAAGTTTTGTGCAATAATACTTGGTGGTAATACTTCTCACATCTCTGATAGCCCCCACAGTAAATAATGATAAAAGTACAATATTTATTATTGAATTAATGTATTATTGTTTCCTATCAAAATAAATCGATTCAGGTGAATCAGAGTTAGTTATTTTCTTATCAATGCACCGAAATAAGATTAACAACAATATTTCTACAGAGATAACAAAAACTTTTTCAATTATCTATACCTATAGGTATTAAATAAACACAAAAAGCACAAAGCTGCACATTACTAAGCTGAATATTTTCCTAGTATTTTTTTATTTAAATAATGTACCGTATCAACCACGAATTGTTTACGAAACAGATAATGCTTGGATCATTACCATCTGGTCGCTGCGTCCAAAGCAGGAGTGTAGCGCTAACTAAATAGGACCGCCCGTACCAGTATAAAATGCGTGCCTGAAGCTTATCAAATCGCAATGGGGCACTGTTCATGGTGCGCCGCGCGACTAGCAGACGCGGTGGTGATGACGTTTACGAATGTATTAGGTAAATATGTCTGCGACGATCAGCTTGATGCGGCTTATCGTGCAATGTTACCGGTTAACTTCAGATTAATTTGTATAATATGTATAGTTAGTTACAAAAAATTTAAATGTGATCGAGATAATGATATATTTTTTTAATTGTATATTGTATACCAATGTCGGGCCAGTATTATCAAGTCGCTTATTCGCTATTGCTATTACATTAGACCAAACAGTGCAGAGTTACGCTTTTGCTAACAAGTGACGTTGCACATTTTGGATCTCTAGGCGTCGTAGTAAGATGCGAAGCGGCGTATTAGAAATCGTAATCGAGTTTTATTCATGCAAATATCTCTTTGTAAATTAGTCTAAGTAGGAAATAACTTTCTTTGATATGTTACGACTTAAACGAATAGTTTACAACAAATCGTATTGAGTTGTTTTCTATGACAAAATAAATTATTTTCACTTTTCAATATAGTAAATTATAAAAATATAATCATACTTTCTTTAATTTAATTGATTTTACTATTTACTTTATTTTAGAATATATCTAGCTATTGTTTTTAAGATTAAAGTATATTATTTGAGGTAGGAACATAACTCATACAACATAGAAAAGAATTGTTTTTGACATTTTAACAATACTAGTTCTTTGGAAACTAATGTATTCAATACTTTTTCCGAAATTGCCAAAACGACTATGATATAATATGTATGAACTTTATATGAAATAGCACTTTGCGGCGTTATAAGACAAATATTAAGTGAAACGGAAAGAACGGTATGAATGAAGGTGATATTATTTTTAAGATTTTACAGATAGTAATCTAATCACATTACGCATTCATTTAACATCTACCTATAGGTACTAATATTTAACGTTCTAAAGCAAGATTATATTCAAAGACAAACAATTCGTTAATAACAAAGGACAGAATATTCGAATATCTAATTTCAACATATGTGGATGTACCACTAGAACGTTAAGCTACATTTATTGTTTTAAATAAGTCGCTATGGTGTCTAAGGACGCTCAATTAATTACGGGCGCGGGTCGAGCATGTCACGCGTGTGTCAACACAAGCAGTTGCACACAGATAAGTTTAAGTACCGCGCCACGTAGTTTACTTAAACCGGTAGTGGTAAATGGCTAACAGCCGAACACTAGCTTCCTGACTACTCGAATATGCATACCGCGACCGCGAAGATGTAACTACGCAAGAGGAAAATTCCTTTTTCTTGAGATCTACATCATAACATTACTGTTCTTAAAATATTTCATTAGAAACCAGCTGTTTCGCGCAGCTTCGCCCGCGTCTTGAGGGAACTTTTTCCCGTACAAGAATAAAATACAGCCACTCAGGAACATTATAACTATATATCAGGGAAAGAATTATGGAAATCCAACCAGCCTGCCAAAGATTACCTCTTACAAACAAACTTACAATTACCTCTTAACAATATTAGTATAGATGGAACCTTTTGTTTCATTATCAGATGTCTAAGGGTGAGTGTGCATATCAAAAATTAAAGTGACATCTCAGTGGTATAAAACCACACTATTAAGTTCGCTAATAATTACAAGAAAAAGCACTGCACCATAAAGGATTTTCTTCATTTCTTTGTATTAAAAGACTTTTGTATAGTAGTTGATGGTAACAAGCTAATACTAAATAAATAACTGAAGCTAATAAATAATTTCTTCTATCAATTTGATTTACTTTTTAATTCATATATGTGTGTATCTTTTGTACCTACAGTACAATGGTCACATCAACATATCTCAATATGTAAACTATTGTGTACATGTGACATTATTGTTTGTTTACATACTGCTCAACTAATATGTGCAGTTCATTGACCTCAGATTGGGACATCTCAATCGGTTGAAACAGAAACTTTTTTCAAAAAATACAATTCTTGTTATTTCTCTTGAAATGTAATTTCAATCAAATGTACAGATGATGTTGTTTACTACTGTGGGTAATTACTTGGTTTAAAGTTGATTGCTTCTTTGAAATATTATAGGTAGATCATAAATCTTGTCATACATAACTTATAAAATATCATCAATTTGTTGAGGTTTATTATAAAAATTAGTATGTAATACAAATTTTATTAATATCATATTGAAATAGGAAAATTTTAATAAATATTACAATTTTGACTAAATAATAATACCAATGAAACAAAACTAAAGTTATTGTGTATCATTAAAAAATTAAAAATATTGACTCCAGGATAAATATGATGCGTAAATTGAAATACACAAAGGTTAAGGCCGTTAGACACAATAATTAATGATAATTAAAAACATTGATTTAAAACTGATTAACAGAACTAGCCCTAGTTATGTTGAAACAGGTTATCAAGCATCTTTGTTCCTGAAGATTGTAATCAGAAATGTATCACTATCTATGAAAGTGAATGTACAAAGAAAAATATAAATAAGAAGTAAATACTGAAACCAGTATTACAATGTTGCACCTAACTTGTAACAAACAAAGTTTATGTATTGGAAACTATTTCCCAGTTTATAGTAATAACAACAACATACCCGCTGCTTCAAGCAAAGCTTCTAGACGAGCCTGCATCTCTGGGTCAACAGCCCGCTCTGGGTCATCATGGGATAACAGGAACTTTGATGGCTCTGCACCACCACCTTCTTCTTCCATCTCCGCCTGATTCACAAACAAGTCACGGGTTATCATTTCTGTTTGAAAACAAAGTCATGCATCTATGTTTTGAAATCAAATTATTTTGTTTGAAATCTGTATTCCATTTTCACTTTTAAGTTTTTCTTATGATCAATAATCAAAATATTACAAATTAAATACGAAATATTATTTGGAATATCATTGTTGTTGTATGGATCTCAACTTATATAATATATTCACTATTTAATTATGTATTTCAATGGTTAGCATTCAATAAAGCTGTTATTTTCATAATATAGTTTGTTTCTGAACTTCATTATTAGCATTATAGGTTAGTCCAATTGTAGCACTAAATATCATTCATTTTAATTTAGTTTAGCACAAATATCTAGTAAGAATTTTTAGGTTATATATTAGTAATGTTAAGATATATTGGAAATTATGAGATTCAGATGAAAGAAACTAGTATGTTAGAATCACAAGGACCATTCAACATAAAGAAAACAAATATATGTGGTAATTGTCCATAGCACACACATTATGCAGGTTAACAGAAAGAGTCACTCAAACTGCAACAGCTATTGTTGTTGGTGAAGCTCTGGGCACTCAGTAATGTTGTCTTCGACTTACCAACAGGTCTGGCCTGCTAAGGCACAAACAAGCCAGCAAGATCTATAACACCAACGAGAAACATGTGAGATCTACTGACAATGTGGTGCATAAGGACATGTTTACAGCTAATTGTTACTGTCAATGGTCCTTGCAATTCACCAATAACCGTAGTTTTTGCGCGAATATCACTTAACGTTTCGTACGACTTGGTCATTCGTGACAAAACAAAACATTCCATGATTGACGATATTTATGACGAATCCAATAGAAAATTATATAATTCGCACATTCATAGTAAAATAACGACACAAAAATCCATTATTCAGAGATTCACATCGACTGAATGCATGTGATTCGAGAAACATGGCCACCGCACATCAAATCTTATCCAAAACACAAATAGACAATGAAAACTCTCTTACGGCGGATTAGCCCTTACACATAGTAGAATTACAAAGAATCAATTGAATACTGTCTAGGAGCGGCTGGCATAAATAATTTCATGCATTACTCAGTAGTACGTATGTACTTATGACTTTCTGACGTTTTACGGAATATTTGGCAAGCGACGTACTCTATTCAGAATGTAAAATAGATTAGTCCGTTTCAGCGTGCTACGCACGATTTCAAGCAAATATTTCTGCTAGAAGAGTAGTTTCGGTAATAGAAGAAACTGTACGGTTAGAGCAGACATGTACAAGATGTCCCTTGCAGTATTTAGAGCGGTACAGATAATCACATTCCCTCACTGCCACCGCCTCTGTCGAAAACAAAACACGTTTTACCTCGGACACAGAGTCATCCTCGCTTTCCGAAGAGTCCGTCATGTATTTGGCAGGCGCTCCTGAATACGTTTCGGTTTCAGATTTGGCCGGACTCGAAGCCGAACTTTGAGGAGTGGACGATTTTACCACATCAAGTTGCACATTCACCTTATCGATATTTCGGTTTTCAGACTGTCCAACATTCTGCATCTTTGTCCTAATCCAATATAACTTAATTAGTCTTTTAGTATCAACACTTTTTCTACGAAATTAACACGATCTTTTATTACCAAACAAAATTTATTTCGTCATTTAGCCAGGTTGATACCCGCCATGTCTACTACTATGGCGAGGTTCCCGGATGCTTCAAGTAGGCTAACCAATTATCTCCCTCTGGTGTAGTAATTTTGAACTTTTCAGCATGCCATCTACCACCAAAAATGCGAAATTCTGTATATAGACAATATTTTCACTTTTTTTGTACAGCGCAAAAATATAAACTGCCAGTTAACATGAACAAAAGCTTAATAAAAAATTAAAAAACAAAGTTTTAGGAATCATCATTATGATATCATCGGTGAACTCAATTTTATTCATGTTGTTATTGGTCTTTTAAATTGTATAAAACGTAATTTACTAAGTTGTCTATGGGCCTGACGGTAGGAGCGAAATTTTGTTAAATTTCTTAAAAATAAGATTTATCTTAATACTTTAAAAACTGATACATCTAGATGAATCATATTTTTTATTGAAATTGATAAACTCAGTCTAAAATTTTAATAATATCAAAGTATTATTATTATTTATTATGACAACACACAGAAGTGAAAAAATGAACCAATCAAGTCAAAGCTGGAAATACATGCGTGATGTAACAACCAATTAGATGCAAGCATGCAATGTGATTGACATTTTGACATTACTTAAAATGTTACCCTACGTAAATAAATTTAGGGCCGCGTGTTCCGGTGTTCTTTCAAATTAGTGATGTATAGTCTGTGTAAATTTGTGCAATAGCAATGTAAAATGTTGCCAAGAAAATTCATAAAAAATGAAAATCTTTCACTTTGAAAAACAAGAAAATGTATGATGAAAATACTACTGTGAATTCGTTCGATTCTCAATGTATTTCGCATTATTTTCAATTTTTGCCGGTTATAAAGTCACGAATAATGTGTGAATAATGTAATTTCTATGTTTAAGGGATCTATTGCTTATGTAGGCAGAATGTTAAAAATATGATTTAGTATTTTATTTGTAAGATTATGAAGAAAATTGATTTTCTTTGAATGAAAACATGGTTGTGGTGTTTTTGCATAATGTGGACTTGGAAATAAACTAAACAAAATGGCACGGGACGGTGACTTGCCTACTATTTTCAACCCAAAGCGAGTGCGCGCTCCTTCTGTGATAATAACAAGTGAAGAAGTGGAAAATGAAAGAGGTGGTGGTGATGCGGATAGAGATCGTCCGAATGGTCCACCGACGCCTTTGAGTCCCCGGGCTCCTCTTACTCCCCAAGCTTCGGTGTGCTCGGCGCCTCCACTAACTACCCAGCCGTCACTGCAGCAGGCCTACAGTGAGTCTGCAACCAGCAGTCAGGATGAAGAGCGTCAGTTGCGTGATAAGAAATGCCCCCGATCTTGTTGCTCAAAATTCGCCAAGAAGGTATTTTTTTATAAGAATAACTCCTGATTTCAGTACTGTTCAAATTAAACTATATTAAAAAAAACAACATATTTCTTAAATTAATTTGATTCCCTGGTTTAGTCTGGCTGATAATAAAGAAGGCTGTTTTAGTTGCGTTTTTAATTAGGTATGTAAATCATCATCATCAGTTACAATGCATCTACTGCTGAACAACTAAAAACAAAGGGGATAGAAAAATGCTTTTAAGTCCCTGAAAATTTAAGGATGCTGCCTGTTCCTTGAGAGGTGGTCAGAGTCTTAGATGTATACCAAGACTGACCACCTCCGGATCTGAACATTTAGTATTAAGCGTTCTGGACCTCAAAAAGCTTAATGAATCCTTGTTTGTCTTCTTTTTTATTACTGTCTATAAAATAATAAATTTAAATTCCTTGTTTTAGATATACTATGGTATTTGTGTAACACTTACATTAACCACCAGCTGGGTCACATCTACCCACTGCATTAAGCACATGTATCTTGAAGAGTATCCCCCAACCACTCATGGTATGGTGTTTACCACTGAATCATCCCCTATGGTCAACAATTTTACTAGACATCACTCACACGTAAGTGTTTTATTATTAATGCCTTTACTATTGATACATGAATTAATATTTTTTTGAAATTAATAATTAGAATATTTACCATATTTTAATTTTTGTTTCAGAATCTCTACAATGCACCTTTTTTCACAGCATGGTTCTGCACCAACTGGTTGATATTGTTTTACCCACTCTACCTGATAGTAATGCTCATACATAACAAGTGTAAGTCTGCCAATGATATTGTGTTTGATGCCTTCAGTGATTTCAAAGAGAAGGGATTTACATTTGGTAAGTGAAATTAGTTTATTATAATTATATAATCTTCCTGGTTTACCCGACAAACACTGGAGAACCATTTAAATCCAGTTAATTAATATATATTACTTAATGTATTGTTTAATTTATATATTTTTCAAAATAATCTGGCCTCAACATAAATATCCATGGTGTTCTTTTAAATCTAATACTCCCTTCTCATACTCCATTGGCTGGTCATGGCAGCATCCATGAACATCTAGACTGATTTCGATAGTTCTTTTTTGCTGGTTTTACAAAAATCAGTAGGTTTTTATAAAAGACAATTTTAGAAAAATAGAAGGGAGAATTTGGGAATAGCCCATATGGGTGCTTTAGCAGTTTGCTAAAAAGAGAGATAGCGCGCCAATTAGACATTCGTGCAAAGCAAGGCCGGGTCGCTCGTTTAATATAATAATACCATCAGGCGACATCTGGCGCCCAACGTGGGGCATGAAACCGTGACCCTGAAATGGGATGTGGTTAGTTCTTCATTTTAATTTTTATGAATAAAAGTGATATTCCTTTGTAGAAAATCTATAATTTATCTCTTTTTAATATAATAATACCACCGCTCAAAACCTGGCGCCCAACGTGGGACACCAATCCCCGACTCTGATACGAGCGTTAGTTACGAAAACTGACAATATAATCCCTGTGTATAGTGGGTAGGAACTATTTAGATAAAGCATGTATTAGTAAAAATCATATTCTTTCAACAGCACGATTCATAAGCAGATGCGGTCTGTTCTGTCTTCTGTGGACCGTCACAATCTACATGTACACCTATGCACTGAAGATTTTACTCTCCACTGATGTGATGGCATTGTTTGCCACCAATGTGTCATGCATCTACCTCCTGTCTTGGGTTATATTACACGAACAGTTTGTTGGAGTGAGGGTGAGTGGAACTACAGTAAACCTTGTAGGGTTTGGTAACAGTACTAGTATTGAATTGATATTAACAGTCCATAGTGGTATACCTACTTAATCTATAAAAGCTGCAGAGTTTGTTTGTTTGAATGCGCCTATCTCAGAAACTACTGGTTCGAATTGAACAATACTCTTTGTGTTTGTTGGTCCATTTATTGAGGAAGTATATAGGCTATAAAACATCACGCTATGACCTGTAGAGGCCGAGCAGCAAGTGAAAACGCATGATAGTAGCTAGTCAGTAGAAATTTGTAGTTATGTAACACTAACTGTATGACTATAAAAGTTTTTAAGCCCGTATGCTGAACTTGAATCGACGCATAAATACTAAATATGATATCATTTCCATATCATATTGCCAGCAGGCCACACGAATCACGAGCTGTAACAAACCGCACCCTAAATACATCGCTCGATTTAGTCAAGTTCCGTTTTAACTTTCTCTGACATTAATTGCATGAATCTATACTAATATTATTAAGTTGAAGAGTTTGTTTGATTGAAAGCGTTAATCTGCAGAACTACTGGTTCGAATTCAATAATTTTATGTTCGTAAGTCCATTTATCGAAGGAGGATTTAGGCTATAAAACAGCACTTTACGATTTGTAGGAGCCGAGTAGTGAGTAGCTATAGGTACATACTTTACATTTGTAGGAACTTAAACGCGCCTGTAATACAACATATAAGAATGAAAATAGTTTCTCAAGCTGGTGTTAAGTTACAGGCCTCCATGTAGGTACTTATTCAGGCGAGTTTACTTGCGTGTGTCCATTTCACTATCGGGCACTACGGCCGGAAACGGCATCGTTTGTTCTTAACATTTTCTTTATTTAACATTTTATAATCTTAAATCGTGGTCACGATATGCCCTTAGGCTCGCGTCGCTTGGATCTAGAATGAACTTTAATTAAAGTCAATTAGCTACATCACGTTAGTTCGTATTCGTCGACATTGTATAACGATAGAATCAACAAAATATTTTCTTTATGAAATTAATTAGAACCTTACAAAAAAGACAGAAAGTAACCAGCTATTTCTATCGAAACTGCATGATAAATCAGTACGTATTATTTTTCAGATTTTTTAGTACTTTATTAATTGTATTAAGATTGAAAAGTTAAAGGCTTGTTTTATCGTTTTAATATCCAATAAACTTGTATTGCACATAGTTCATACAAAATCTTATACGTACCCCAAATTTTATATGCAGATCTATTTAATAGGTTTGAGAATCGGCTACTGGCAATATTTCATACCTAACAACAAGTCAATACTTAATTTTTTTTTGTAAATAATTGATAAGACAAAACAACGTTAGCCGTTCTTTTTATCTATTTCAGTTTATCTGGTACATTGAGGCTTTCCTTTTTTAACATGAACCTCGTATCGTGTATCACGTTTTTAATAATACCTAGTTTAATTTTCATAAGGCAGCAAAATCATGTGTATTTTATTATGTTTAGATCGTAGCAGCAATATTGTGCGACACGGGTATAGCTCTATTGGCGTACATGGACGGCATCACAGGAAGTTCAACTCTTGGAGGTGTGGTGTTAGCGGCGTGTGCTGCTGCAGGGTTCGCCATATTCAGGGTATGTCACTTACATTATGTAAATTAAAACAATTATACTTATTAAATACTTAAAGAATTCTTCTGATAGAACGGGAAAGTTTGTAGGTATCTATGTATTATTTTATGAGTAAAAACTACTGATCGGATCTGACTGAAATTTGGATCCGATTTTGTTTATAGTGTGTATTACAACATAGGCTACTTAGAAGTAGCCTGGTGTTGTTGGCGAAGCCGTTGGCGGAAATAAATAAGCTATATATGATTTAAGAAATAGATTATGCAGTGTAAAATCTCATAAATTCATACATGATGCACTGTATGATTGATGTACTGATTACAACTTAATGGCGTAAGCTGTAATGTTGTATATACCTGTTTTAAATTCATATCGTCAGCAAAAGTAATCTTTTAATCGCATTTATGCGCCTTACATGTAGCTCTTTTCGTAGTAGATTTCCTCAGATTGGCAGGCAACGAAGGCGTTACCTTATATAATATGCATTCGTCAACTAAATTAATTTGACGCTAACAAAAAAACATTGACTAGAGTATTACGTCATTTCACATTTGTGTAATAAGTTACACAAATGTGAAATGACGTTATCGTGAGGTATACAGAATTCATTGAAAAGAACGACTTACTCACGTGAATTAACTGAGATAAGCTCTACTAGTTTCAAGTCACAACGGGACTCTTACTCTTAAGAAGCACACCGTGTCGCCATGATGCGTAGTTAATTCACGTGATTATGTCGTTACTTTTAGTCGTTACGTTTAAAAGTTATACAGTCACACAGATAGACAAAAACAAATGTCTAGTTAATAGTCAAGAATCTTTTTCATTTAACCCCAAATAACGTTTTGCTGCAGGTGTTATTCAGAAAAGTGATGGGTGATGTGAATTCCGGTCAGCGCGCTCTTTTCTTCTCTATCCTGGGTATCGTGAACGCGTCCCTCCTGTGGCCTCTCTGCCTGGCGCTCTACCTCACCGGCTCCGAGATGTTGCCCTCCACCCGCATGCCTTGGATCTATCTACTCGTCGCTAGTATTTCGCTGCTAAGTTAGTATTACGTTATCAGGGTTTAAGAAATCAACAAATCATCATCAGTTTTTATTGTGCAACTAATTACATTTTTCTTTGCAGTTTTCCACCTGGTGTTTCAGTTCGGCAACATCATTACATACAATATCTTTGTCTCGCTCGCTCTTATTACCTCAGTCCCGGTTTCGGCAGGTAAATTGAAAATTTAAATTTTATTTTTGAGAATTTAAAGTGGGAGCTTTTACGTAATTTCTTTTTTATCGCTTCTTTTGTAGCATTGGATGTGGTCCTGTATGGAGTACAGTTTGAGGGTATGAATCTCGCTGGTCTGATACTAATTGGCGTCGGTTTCTTCTTGGTCATGTTTCCAGACAACTGGCCTGATTACATTATGAGGCTATTGAGGTAAATTCTTTTATATATCTTTTTTAGCTGTGGTCAATGTATACTTCGTGTCCCTGAAAATACAAGATTTGTATTAACTTTGGATATTTGACATGTACCAGATGGAGCCGCAGTCGCAAACGGGGCAACAACGGCACGGGCCGCAACCGCGACGCCATGGACTACCGCACGGGCTACATACGGTCGCACCTGCGCTCGCCGTCCGGCCGCGTCAGGTGACCGCCCGAGCCGAGCCCCGCCACCTAGCAGCCGCTACTCGTAGTATCCTGCGCGGCCGGGTACTACGAGCATGCTGTCAGGAAGTCTGTCTAATGCACCGACAGGGGGCGCCGTTTGCACTCTTATTGCCAGAAGGTCCGTATGTCCGTCACGTCTCCCCTCACCACCTGTTTCTACAATAAATACCAGTAGGTCTCGGTTAGTGAAGGAAGACGCTGTGCCGAAGTGTTTTCTAAAGTGCGGTTGACTCGTTCCATCTAGCATATCAATGTGCACTGAGGACTAGTGTGTCGTGATTTACAACGGATAGATAATGTACTCTCAGTAAAAAGCTTTCAAAATCTGTGTTATTGTTTGCTGAAGGTAACTTCAAAGTGAAATTATTCCGGGTGTAGCAACTATATCTATTTTCATGAGAAACATTTCGAATTTCTTGTTTCTATTTCACTTCTCTTCCTTAATCTAAGCACAAAAAATACTACGATAAATTAAACTACCATCAAAAGGGTGCTCTTAACTGAGAGTGACGCACTAATACGGACCTAGGTCAGTTACGAAGAAAATTGAAAAATCGAATGGACAATCACGAGGAATATTTTGAACTTTATTAGAAATCATCGATGCTATGAGTAAAATGTAATCGAAAATGAATTATTTCTCTGCATTCTCTGTAAAAATAACAATAATGTGGTGGTATTATGTAGTAGATATATAAATGTTATATTGTGTACCTATTATTACATGTGGTGTATATTTTTCAAGATTACGGATTCTTCTCGCGATGTCAAAACGTCTTATATCTCGTTCTGCCAACTGACTTCTTTCTGCTGGCAAATAGAGCTCAGATTACGCCCCAAGATACAATCGAACGATATTATATAAAACATTTTTGCTTATACTAGTGGTTACGTAGCTTCGTGTTCGTCTCGACACGTTAGAAAATCAATTCACCTTCGAAGTTTGCGCGAATATAAAATTCATGAGTTCAGTTGTTATGATGATATCCGACGTCACGGCCGTCTGGTATTCAATCTCAGTATTGATTCAGCGTTCGTGGTCTGCCTCTGTAGCGACCCGCCACACAGCTGGTGGGGCTAGGCTTACGTTTTATGACGAATAAAGTCTGATTTTTTTTTAAAACGGAGATAAACTTATATTTGATACATGCTAGTACCTAAAGCGCAAACTTCTAGAATATTCGTTTAATAACATTCCAAGTTGATTCCTATTTGAAAATGTCCATTTTAAATATTGCAATTTAATATGTACCTACCTTTATCTGAAGAACATTCTCATCTTAGCACTTTAGTTTCCCAGCCTATTTCAGTTGTACTATATAACTTGGCACCCCTAATTCTAATGTAATGGTACTTGCATACTTATCTCGGTGTTGTGATCCACCCGTAGGTTTAGTGTAGGTTAAGGACCAATCAAAGGTATGCGAAATGAACGGAAATTAATGTACGGAATTAATCAATACATCCTTATTAAAAATTTATAAAACTTTCCGTTTGTTTCATTGGTGACAATAATAATGTAGAAACTGTTATTTATAAAGAATCTATCGGCGAAATGTTGGTTTTCTTCCATACCTTTATTGGTCCTCGGGAATGGCTTCCGAATTCGTAACTTTTACTTGATCTCAAAGAATCTAGTCAAATATTATAGTCAGGGTAAATTATATACTTAGAAATAACAATAATTTTATATAAATATGAAGGCGATCATGTCGAAATGTAGCCGAACGATGCTAAGTCGCTTGAAGAGGGTATATCGCGTGCTATATGCAACTATAGGAAATTGTGTGGGGAACTGTTCAGAGACAAGATCAAATCAAATGCATTGGACAGCCTATTAATACAAGAAGTATTTCATTATTTCAATTTCCCAATATATCATTGCCGTTGAAATTACAGGCTGTTCAGTTAGCTGAATTAAGACAATCAACTATATTAAAATTTTATGTACAATCTTGAACCTTATCGTCTTTATCGAACACTAGTTCCATTCTCACGTTTCCCTATATAATGTAAGTATTACAACCGCCCCAATGTAGTGTTAATTCAATTATATCGTAGCACTTTAATAAATATTATCGTACCTATGCAATGAATGGACGTAGAGGTCGTAGAGTAGCGAATAGTAACACATTGTCCGTATTCGGATATTTTATAAATCAGTTATTATATTTATATTATGTGAATTCAGAAATGAGCTTGTGTTACTCACTTATGCCAATATTATCACGTCTTCGTTCCTTTCACGGATCCGAATATGGTTTGAGTATATCCAATTTATTTCATGAACTGATATTGTTGGTATAACTGGGTTTGGATATCGATGTATAAAAGTCAGGGTAATTGTCACCGCGAGTACATGTAAGAAAAGTTAATAAGTAATATATGCACGTTAGCAGTCAATTCTAACAAGTAGTTACGAGATTATACCCTACGTTCGTGGAGACGTGCAACCTTTGAATCGAAATTATGAGACGTCATCACTGTAGCTGAGATATGTAGAGTCAAATAGTCTTTGTTTACATGTACTCACCAATGACGCAGTCTGAACGTCGATAGTACCGATTCTGTGGTCTCGTTTACATGTTACTTTATGACGTTGGTTTGATAAGCTGATTTGTTACATGCTGCATAAGTGCAAGTCTGACCTAACAGTGACGCTTCTATTTGCACCTTTCATATAACTTTTGATATTGTAACCTTGGCGAATTGAGATAATAGGCACTTTGTTATAATACTTCATAATATTTAAACTCAAATGCTTAAATTCAAAGTTGTATAGGTATTTCATCAGTTCAGCATCAGTGACATGTAAACAAGACCTATGTTGAAGTTATTCTAGTTTCAGAAAGTAATCCATTGAAGTTATTCAACCAATGGCATTAAAGACATTGAAGTTAACACAAAAACCATATTACTATTAGCCATGATTTTGAATGGTTTCTTTTTTATAGTTACGTGCCTTTACGAAGTTGAAGCGTATGTACCCTTTGTTAGTTGTTGTTATTAATTAGCGTACTCGTTATTGTTTTGATAGGTAGTAGTAAATCGACTACTTATATATTATAAATTATAGCCTTATATTCACATTAATCCTACTTCAATATAAGTTATATGATACTCAAGTAGTGTATTCGTACTACCCCATGACTATCCTCTAGCGAAATATTTTTATGTGTTGTATACCCGGCGTCAGTGTATGCTGTCGGTATTATTCTTGTCTTTATGATTGTGTGAATGTATTTCGTATCGTCTTAGCTCAATGTGTCTGTTGTGACTGATGTTTTGTACCACGCTTATGTACTGTAGATACCTATTATATTATTTTTGTATCGTCTCCTTATTTTAGAGACTTGTAGTTCCGTGATTTGTATTCTAATTACTTACGTAAATTGAAATAATAAAAAAATATATTAAAATGAGAAATTAAACAAAAGTTTTATAATTCGATGATGATTAATGATGTTAAAGATTTTGTACATTGGTTATTGTTTCTACAGTCTTTATTGCTCGTTTTAATTGTAAAATTTTAAAGACTGAATTAAATGGAAGTTGACTAAAATTCAATTATGCAGTCATGGATGTTAGTCTAGTCATTAGTTTATAGGTATTACTGAAAATAATGTTTAATTCGATTCGTAGGGTCGTGTTTATCGGTGTCTAGAGTTAGGTGGTAACAGATTACTTGTATTAGGACTCACGTGGTTACGAGTAGTGCAACCTTGTATGTGTGTCTTACATTAACTGCGAGTAGTGAACACGAGATAACACCTTGGCCCCTGTGATTCATTTTGTTAAATAAAAGTAGACGTAATTTGTTGGTCATGAAATAAAATTTGTCATAAAACCGTTGTTTCATTCTGTCTATTACCATTTTCCCCAAAGCTTATTAATTAAACACATTTTACATTGACTAAAAGCCAGTCTTGTTTTATTGTGATCAATCACATTGTAAGAAATGTTCAGTAATGTAAACACCTTCATTTACAAAAATTAAATCATATTAACTAAAGTTTTCTCATTATTTGCTAAAATTCATTAAATTCATGCATTTAATTAAGATTCTTAATAAATCTTATTATATATCTTATATATTTATAGATCTTCGATTTAAATTAATGTATATTTAATTTATTTAAATATTACTGCAAACTCTGTCCCACCGCCAGATGGTGCCGTCGTCGCAGCAGGTCAATAGGATCTTGCCGTTGCGGGAAAGCGTCACCTGTGCAAATAATATTGATCATTGTGTGTATATTGGAATGTGAATACATGTGTAGAATTATTTCACTGTTGTATAATTTCTAGTATTTTATTAAAATCGAAAATACACCAATACCTGTCTAACAGCAGCTACGCATCTAGGATGCACCAGTTGCGAGACACGCGAGCCTCCGGCCACGTTGCCAAGCTCCCATACCATTGTCTTGCCACATTGATTGCCTAAAGCTATCACCTGTCAAAAATAGCTTGCATAAATAATCTAAGTTCTTTAAAAAAAAAATTTTTTTTTCAATACTGATAGTTTTAGAGGATAGGATTAGGATAATTGCAAGTGGGGAACTCATAGGCGAAACACAAGTCATCACTATTTCACGCCGATTTTCTGTAAGGCCGTGGTATCACTACTACTACACTGGTCCAAAGCACGGGTCTCCAACACCTAGCATATCTATCATCTATTATAAAACATTTAACAGAATCTCACCCTTTGACTGTAGTCCACAGCAAATCGTATAAACCATATCTCACACTCCTTGTAGTCGAATCTGTGCACAATAGTGACAGAGTTGTCGCCGGGACGTAACTCTGTATCTTCGAGACGACCAGGCTTCCAGCATATTATTGCATTCTCGCAGGACTGCAGAAGGGAACATAACATGTAAATCAGAGACAATTTGATATGTGTAGTCGCGGACGTCATTGCGAAGCGAGGAATCTCAAGTTTGATAGCTGGGCCTGGATGTTGCAGCATGGAGATTGAATTGTGCATGGTATAATAGTTTAACTTGTACTTTTTTTAAGTGATAGGACGGGAAACGAACAGACGACAAGAAGTTACGATAGCGTTGCCGGCGTTTTGGGGATTAGGGTTTTAGAGATTTAGGATTGGAGAAGGGGAAGAAGGATTGGCCCTCCGGTAACATTACTCACATGCTGAAACAATGTGGTTGTTTCACGCCGGTTTTCTGTGAGGCCGTGCTATTACTCGGGTCGTAGCTCGACTCGAGTAATGCTATGACACATTCGTGCTAAAACAAGGCTCTCTTACACTTAGACTAGAAGTCTATCCAGTCTCATCCTCATCTTATAACAAATTACATAAGATTCATAACATAACTTGTAAAAATAGAGTTTTACATAGTTTAATGTGGAGCTCAGCCTACCCCTTGGGATATTAAAAAGTGTGATGTTTCATTAAATTTAAAACACTTTTAGTTAAATTTAAGAAGCACTTACTTTGGACAAAATGAGATCACCCATCCATCTAACACAGTCAACATAATTCCTATGAATGTCCCTAGTAGAAAAATCTGGAAAATGTTCTTTCAAAGAATTGAAAGGCCTTAAAGCTCTGTGAGGGTTGAAGCTGTAGCTTTGTTTTATAGCTTCATGCATTGATGGCTTGTCTAGCCGCCACAGTTTGAGCGAGTGGTCCATGCCACAAGACATTATTCTCTCTCCTTTGAGATCAAAATCTGCACTGAGAACCTCATCCCTGTGACCTTCAACACCACCAAATATAGCAATGCAAACATCTGTCATGATGTTCCACAGCCGTAATGCATGGTCCTTGCTTGCAGATAGCAGTAAGTTGGGATCTCTTGGATGGAATTTGACTTCATTGATGGCATGCCCATGACCAATGTAGTGTTTGATGCAGGTTTGTGTTGAAGGCTGGAAGATCCGTACAATACCACGTGAGCCAGCGACAGCCAGCAGAGGCAGGTTGGTTTCTTCTTCATATGACCATGCACATGTGTAGAATGTCTCATCAACCTGCATTAAAAAGAGAGAAAATTAGATTGTTAAATATTATGATAAAATCATACAACAATACAATTATAAATATTTTTCAGTCCCATATTATTATGAGTCAAAAATCTACTTACATCTGGGTCAGCATAACACTGAAGAAATTTGAAGCCTCCAGAGTCAGGGCACTCATAAATGGAGACTCTGTTGCTGCCAACCACAGCAAATACCTGCGGCTGTCCCTCACCCAAGTGATGGTTGAACTGACATCCAAATAAAGGCTGACCATGGTCCTCTTTTGCACTGCAGCTGGAACATTTTAATTATTATTAGCTGCAATTCTCTCTTCCATTGCAAGGCCTATCTACATACAACAATAATTTTAAATCATAAATAATTGTTGAATAGTTAATCTACTTCTAATACATGTAAATTCTTAATTAAAATTAACAATATTATTACTTACACAGATCAGTATCATTTATACAACTAGGTCTATACATTGAAATAGCATTGAACTTCAGCTCAATTCTTATTAGTAATTACTTTTAATTACTGGAATGACCAAGACAATTTATCTTGTCTAGTATTTCTGTCTGTCTGAATTGCCCACTTATCATCATTTAGTAGTTCCAGTGTAGACTGGTATAAGGTGTTATTTACTTAGGTTAGAAATGTTCTTGAACTAAATAGTAATTCCTATACAGGTTAACAGTAATTATCATTTAATTATATTGCTAGTTCTTTCTGTTGAGGTGTTTTCAGGTAGTTATTGTAGTAACTTACTTAAACTTGTATGGTGGTTTCACTTGTTTTGTAGTCTTCTTTTTACCTCGTCTACGTTTCTTAACACGAGAGTTTGTTGGAGTTTCGCTACGTGAAGTATTATCGGTGTTCGAAGTACTTTCAACACTCGAAGTATCATCCTAAAAAATATATGAATTGAAATATCGATGCCAATGACCCAAAGGACAATGCCACAACAGTGTTCATGACTCCATGAAGAACGTTCACAATACAGAAACAAAGTAAACTTTGTTCCTATACAATCACATTATTGAGTCACTTATCAACATGAATAGAACGCCCTACTTACAGCCTCATTATCAGAAAAATTCATGGTAGATAGTTTCTAACACGAGTGTTAAGTTCTAGTATGTAATTTAACTAATTTCATACAAATATTTCAATTTAAAACTAATTCAAATGAGATCGTTTATCAGCTGACAACGGCGTCGTACAAACGTCAAATGTCAAATTTTCGCGGGAGCTAGTAGTGGAACCAGCGACAATAAATGGAATAAGTTGCGTTCAAAAAGTTACGATTACCTTTGATTAATTTCACTGAAATTCTTAGCTTACCGGAAATCCGATTGAATGTACTTAAATGTAATATTTGCGTAATAATGACTACTATAAAGAAAACAGTTGTTTTAACTGATTCCGATTTCCTAAACATAGGTTCACATACTTCGTCAAACCACCCCAGAATGAACTGGCACAGTAACAGTTCTCCCTCATAATTTTTACACTTGTCTGGACTTTGAAAGACCTACTCTTCTCAGAGTATTTAGGTGGGAAATGCCGGCTTATTCTAAATGTTTCATACAATATTGACAAAATGCTGTTTTATGGCTTATTATTTAATCATTGTTTCTTTGTCTCATTGGACTTAAAACTGGGAAAAGTGGATTGTAAAGCGCCACGCTTTACAATCTTAAAGGGCTCAGTTATGTTGTGTTTTTATTATGATTATTATTTTCGTGCCATGCTTCGGCACGAATGGGTCGGCTCGACCGGAGTGATACCACGGGCTCACAGAAAGCCGGCGTGAAACAACAACAGCGTTGTGTTACGCCGTGTGAGTGAGGGTACCGGATGCCCAATCCTTCCCTTCCCCCAATCCCTAAATCTCCAAATTCCCTAATCCCCAAAAGGTTGGCAACGCACTCGTAACTTCTCTGTTACGGGTGTCCATGGGCGGCGCTGATTGTTTACCATCAGGTAATCCGTCACCTCGTTTGCCGGTTTATTAAATAAAAAAACACCAAAGAGAAAAACATTTAAATACCCTTGTGTCGCATTATTTTAAGGCATAACAACAAACAACAAAAGGAAATACCATGGAGTTTCTTGCTCGTTCTTCTCCATAGGAATCTACACTTTGGAACGAGCAAATAGCTTCACTAGAGGACAGACGGACAGACTGACACGCTTAATTTTAAAGCTCTTGTTATATATACTTTTTTCCTTTTTGCTTGCTTGACGTTCAAAAGTGCCTACTGTGGTCTAATTGAAATAAATGATTTTTGACTTTTTGACTTTTGAAATAAATAACAAAGTTTGTTCAAGCGATTTTATTAGATGCTATCTGATTTCTATGCCTTAAACAATATTGTTATTTTAGTACTTACATTTAATTTTATTGAACATTCATATACATAAATTAACTAAATTACTTATTAAATCTTAAGGTAATCACAGCCATCGGGATTATTCTACTCTTAAATACAGAAAGGTATTTCACAACTTTAATACTGACGTGAGCATAAGCCCAGTAAAGTAATAGCTCCAGGCTTCTGCTGATTTTTACGAAGTTGCAAAAACTAATTAAAGATATCTATAAATTAAAACAATTTTTCTTATTATTTACAGTTGAAAGTATTTAGGCGGCCTTCGTTTCAAAGGTTAGCTACCTAGAACAGCAGTTAGCTACCTAGAGCATGTTTTGTATAAATCCAGACTACCTAGTAGGTCAACTTAATTAATGTCTCTCGATAATTGGTCTGGATCTATGGACACTTCGAAGCTATAATTATAACAACAGCTATCAAATTTACAACATTCAAAGGTTTTTCACAGTAGGTCCAACTTGTGAGAAAACTTTTATGAATAGGTTCTCAGCGCCTGAGAAGATTATATTATACACATGTTTGTGTATTTTATAAATATTTCTTAGTCCATAGATGTAATAAACTGGCCATGTTCACTAGTAACTATTTACAATTTTCTCGCCAATATTTGTCTGTTACAAGTTTCAGCCGTAAGCTGGAGGCTGACAGGTACAGGCATGGCGGAGTGCTACTCGAAGCCACGGCAGGAAACGTCCAACTCTAGCGTATACGCCAGGATATCCGGGTCTAGCACAACCTCGACCCCACGACACGATACCTGAAATTACCCAAAATAATTAATCGCGCTGTAATCGTTTTATGCACAACCTTCCTGATTATTAGGTGGTTGTTGGTAGTATTTTTATTTTAAAAATAATAAGTGTGGGATAGCCAAGCTTTGTCACGTATGGGTCGGCTCAATCGGAGTGATACCACGACTTCACAAAAAACCAACGTGAAACAAGCAGCGTTGTATTTCGCCGTGTGAGAGGTTACCGGAGGCCCAATCCCTGCACATTGCTTACCATCTGGTAACCAGTCTGTTCGTTTGCCGACCTATACCATAAAAAAGAATGATGATTACTGCATTAATTGAATTAAAATTAAAATACTCACCAACTAAAGTGAAATAAGGTTGGGATACAAGTAGTGGTCCACCAGAGTCACCGGTGCAGGCATCTCTGTCGGGTGCATTAGCACACAGCATGCGCGGCGTCACCTTCCTGCGACCGTAGCCTGCGCCAGAACACTCCTCTTGGGCCCAGATTTGAACAGCAGCCTAAACAGATATTTGCCGTTATTTCGATGATACAAAGAAATCGTACTACTTGCTAATGGATTTCAAAGCAAAAGGCTCATAGTCATAAGTTACATAACTGTTAATAAATAATAAACCAAAAACAATATTTTGCATCATAATGATAAAACAGAAACGTTTCACTTTCACATTTTGTAAATAAAATATGATAAAATCGAGTTTCAAAATTAATTTTACACCTACGTACCTAAGCAAGCTATAACAGCTTCTCCTCCACCGACAATAAGACATTACCTACAAATTAATATGTTGCGCGCGCGACTAGAATATGACAGGATCTGTTACTGCGGAAATAATTTTGTTTAATGAAATTCTTGTCATAAGCTCAGTGACATTACAATGCTTATGATCCTATCACATGCTGATCGCGCGCTTACTTCCTTACTTTCATTGGTACGTTGGAAGCTGGCCCCTTTTCAACAGTGCTGCCCCAACCCGTCACTATAGCTTCTTCGCCTTCAAGGCCATCTATGTCTTCAGCATCTAAAATTATAATTACAATACGTTTGAGGTATCTTTAACCTACGTAAAGGTAAATAACCACTTAGTGTCCATATCGTTAAACATTCCTCATAAACAAAGGAGTTAATTTTTATTCAACAATAAATAAGTTTCGAATTTCTTTTGGTGTACCTATTTCAAATGTACAATAATAATACCCACATTATATAGAAGGTCTTTAGTCGCCCATTCAACGGATTTAATTTAACCCTTGTCATTAGATATAGTAGGTAGGTACCTATAACATCATCGAACAAAACAATTTCTGTAGGTATGGTCCGAGATGAACATGTTTAGGTACGATACTTTAGTACCTACTTATATGACCGTTTATTTTTCATTGTTTCTAATTAAAATAAAGTGAGGCTATTGGCTGAAAAGTATTTTTAATCTCAGATAACTAAGTCATATTATATCGTTTAAAATAAGTATAGCAAATGCATCGAGCATAGTCAGTCTAGTCATATTATAAAAAAGAAATATATTTTTTTTGTAAAAAAATGCTGCATAATTACTTAGATAATACTGGCTCATTCTTATCGTAACTTTCAGACAAAGCCATTTGCAAACTTTAAAAAAAGAAAACTAGTTTATTTTTTTTAATGAGTAAAGGGCCACCTATTATTTTTTTCCAATGAATCGGCCGGCTTTATTTTTTTTAATAAGGTGCTTTCATAAAGTTTCGTAAATCCCAAAAAATGGTGGTAAATTCACGTGTTAATTGGTAGGCATTCAGATTGTTCAATCTTACCGGGTAGACAGGCAGGTCTGAATAGACTATCAGGTAACGGATCAGCGAGTCTTAGAACCGCTATGTCATAGTCATAGGTGTATCTGTTGAAGTCAGGGTGCTGCACTACGTGGATCACTTCGTATCCGTCAGATCTCGAGTTGTTCACATCGTATTCACCAACGAGCACTGACAACCGCGACGCTTCAATCCTGGAAGTAGAAATGTACCAAAATGACATATATTTTTGTCCGCACATGGGTTTACACATCTGGTAAAGCTAAATTTTTTTTAAGTTTCGTCTAGGGTATGGCCAGAGAGACTGTCCGACTCTTATTGACTAAGAACACCACGTTCCTTCTGCTGCTCCAAACGGAGGCCGCCGTACCTTTTTTGCCCTTGCTCTATAGCTCCGGCTGAGCTTCGGCTTAGTTGGGCCCTGTCTGTTTTGCCCTTGCTCGCCTTCCACGCACTAGTACAGTTAAGTCTGAGTTCTATTTTAGGGTAGGGTCGTGGTCGAATCTTTGGCAAGCTTTATGAAAGGACTTTTCTGACAACAGTGGATGGATACGATTGATGATAATTCAGAAGATGTACTGAAAATTCTCACAATAAAAGTAAAAGACAGTGAGTTGAGATGAGATTTAAGGAAGCTAAACCATACAGCAGACATGGGAAGAAACAAAAATCGTAACAAAATAAACGATAAACCTAAAAAAGGCAATAGTTTTTAAATATTTAGGTTCCTATTATATTTACTCCGAAATTATACGCAACGGCAATGTTTATTTTATTGTAGTAAGTTGTAATTTTATTTCGACATTTATGAGCTATATCTAGTTAAACAACTAAATTTACGAAAATATTTACGGCAAGTCCGTTTTATACGGTTTATAATGTAAAATATTTAGCAGTTTCTCATTAAGGAGGCGATTAAAATTCGGCACACATCGTTAAGTGATGTGAAACAATCGATTCGTGACACTACGTGGCTAGTGGAGAGGACAAAAGGATCGCGAGCGCATCCAATGCGACCTTAACCTCATTGGAGTGATGTAACTTTACGGCTGCATAACTCATTTGCCTTTGACAACATTTTTGCTTAAATATAAAATGCATAAATTACGAAAGTGTTATATTTTTTGCAAATAAAATATCTGTACCTACCTAATTGTAGGTACAGAATCTTTTTGGTAAGCCTCTTTCAAATAATGATGGCTTAAACTTCCCTATAATATTACTATACTCTGTGGCTTAAACTTGATGTTTTTATTTGGGTTTTGTTTTACAAATTTTTCTA